TGCCGTTTGCCAGGCCTTAAACCCTTAAAACCCTTAAAAGGCTTAAAAACCCTTCAAACTTTGCAAAAGCTTCTCGGAACGCCCAACCGCGCAGGCAAAAGCTACCCCAAGGCCACATCCATCGCTTCTTCTGGGCGGTCCAGCCTGCCGTTCGCCAGGCGTTACACGCTTCAAACCCTTCAAACGCTTAAACTTTCTCTTGGCATGCCTCATCCCCAGCCAACAGGCACCCCAAGGCCACATCAATGGGTTCTTATGGGCGTCCAAGCCTGCCGTTTGCCAGGCCTTAAACCCTTAAAACCCTTAAAAGGCTTAAAACCCTCCCAAAGGTTGAATGCGCTGATCGATGTGGGAAGATTGCTGCAATGGTCTCTAAGCTTCGCAAAAAAAGAATCTTGATAGCAACACATTATTTGTCTTTCCTGAGCATAAGTGGGCAGACAGTTTAAGTGTGCATCAGCCCAGAATGGCTGCCGGGCAATTCACTTGTTACTAGAAAAAACCAGTGGATGCCAGGTACCCCTCAATGGAGATGTTGTGGAAATTCCTATCCGGAGGGTGCGGCCAATCCGCATTCTGAAAACATGGTGGCCTCACCTGCCCCCCCATGCGGGATGAATATTTTATTGGGAGGTGCAGCAAGATTTCAAGAACCTGCCACTATCCATCGATCCATCCATCCATCTATCTCTCTATCTATCTCTCTACAGGACCCCCCAAATAGGGGGGGTCGGCGGCACCAGGGCGTTAGCCCATTCTATTATATTTATCATCCCAAACTTATATTCCCAATAATTAGTTGTATGAGAAAGTGTCCGGTTCAGGGTTGGGACCGCATCCCTCAGTTTTCTTGATACTTTTATACACCTTTCCAGGCGGGCCAAAAAACACGCGTACGGAACGAAACCTCCAAAACGAATTGACATGAAATGACACGACACGACAGGATGTGCAGTGAAATCACACGTTCAAGTTCAGGCATCCATCTTGGCAATTAATATGCAATTCATCTATATTTCACCAGAAAGGATTGGAGGACGCTCCAAAACCATCCAAAACCACAAACTGGTTTGCAAAGACGTCAAGAATAAGGCCTGTTGCTACGGTTTCAAGGGGTGCTGCAGCGGCACCCCTTGAAAGGTGCTGGTTTGTAAATATGTCTGTGGCAAGAAATACATAAACTATCTATCCATCTGAGATCAATCTGCTTCAAGATTCAAGATTTTCATGTTGAAAGATTCAAGTTATTTGGCGTTTTTGGCCGTGTGATTGGAAACCATCGGCAACTTCGTGACAGGATGTGACAGGGGCATGATGAAATCGCATGATGATATGACATGAGTCGAATCGTCCGCGCGTTGTTCGGTTGTGATTTTGTCATGCCCCCATGGATCCCATGGTGTTCTCCGGCCAGATTTCCATCGGTGAAGAAAGTCCGCTCGGCAGCCATTGCTGCGAGCCAAGGCTGTTCTGGCTGCGGCGACTGGGATATGAAGTCAACAAATGTCAATGGCACTTCACCCGCACAGGGGGGCCATGTGTCATGGTCAAAATGGAGGCAAAGGTTAAGCCGGTTGTCTCAGTTTTCAAGGACTTCTTAAAATTCTTAGAACGTGGATTGCATTTTTTCAGTAAGTCTTGGTTAGTCTTGGCGAGTGGAAACCATGGGAAACCCCTCATTTTGACCATGGCACTCCATTGCATGACCACCACGCCATAACAAGCCTTGCATCCACCGAAAACCCCCCGCAGTTGTGAAACCATTTGCAGCTCATTGCACCCAAACCATCGCGCAGTAAACTGCACAGTTTAAGCTGAAGTTCCAGAAGATACTTAAATTGCGCATTTTGAGTTGCAAAGTGCAAAATTCCCTATCTGATAAGTAGCCTGTTGGCGCCCAAAAGCAATCAACAGCATTTTTGGAGCAACTTTCGGAATGGGGCACCCTGGCCCTATGCACATATAAGATGTATGATGGAGGTTTCCTAGAAATGGGGGTACCCACAAATCATTAATCCATTTTGGGGTATCCCCATTCATGGAAACCCTCATATGTCAATCATGTCATGTCGGGATCCACCACCCTCTGGGCACTCAACCAGCATTCCTTAGCTGCCTTCGCAGCAGGCCGGGTTCTGGGCGGTGTGACCCCTGTGGCGCGCGCCCGTCTCAAGGCACGTAGTGCATAACGACGATCTCAAGGGTATCGTCCTGCTTCCGCATTTGCAACACCACCTCCTCTGGGGGATGCGACCTGAGGACAGAGTGAACTTGGGCGTCAACTTGGGCTGGAAAGTCTACCCAACTTGGGTGCATGTGCCGCATGCTGAAACTTTTCGCGATCTCAACATGTTTGGCTGACAAGCAGCACACCATTCACCGACATGATGCGGTCGTGCTCCCTGATGCAAGAATCTGGATTTGCCTCCGGGGAAGTCTGCTGGTGGATGGTAACCCTTTGGATTTTGTAGATCGGTACATAATTTCTCAATTTGCAGCGTCCATGGAAAAGTGAAGGGGAGAGTATGTTTCAGAATGTTTCAGATACCCGGCCTGGTAAACATACAAAAAGCGAACTGGAAAATGGCCCAGTCGAAATAGTTGAGTTATGTTGAGTTACCCATCAAAAATGGTGGATCTTTCCATAGATTTTCCATAGCTATGTTGACTAACATAACTTATGTTAGTTTACCAGAGGCTATTCTCCTGACATGATCCTACTGCAGCTGGTGATAGCTGGTGGCCGACTCCGCCCGCCTTGTTCCAATCTGCAACCAATCCTTCGGCCACTGTGTCGATCCACGGCTTCAAGGAATAGTTTGGCATGTAGTTCGCAATAATGCCCAGTTTCCTCACGCATCAAACACGTCATGAAACATGGATTTTAATTTTCATGCGACCCTTTGTATTGTATGCTACCCGGTAGGTACTGCCATGCTGGGTGAAAGCAATACATTGAACAGAAGCCTGAATTTTGAAAACTGCTACTTGATATTGGGTTGTCTGAAATTACCCCAAGACTTGATGAGAAAAAATCTGACACATTTTCCCATATTTTCTATGAGCAACAACTGGATTCCCATATTTTCAGACACACCCATATCATCCTTTTATCATCCTTTGATCATGATTTTGGTGATCCTGGTGATTCAACATTCATCTCATGGCAGGATCCCAATTCTGGTGACAAATTCCATCCTTCACAGTGTTCAAAACCCTCTGTCATTCTGAATTATACTGGTTAAGAACGGGATTCCAATAGATTATTATTGTTATGGTCATCCCCAAGATTTTTGCTTGGTAGAAAAACTTATATATATATATATAATCATCCCAAAAAATCATGCCCTGGTTGACATTATCATATCATAATGTGGGTAAAACAATAATAAACCATCCCCCAAATCACCATAAATAGGTGGTATAAACTTACCATTCCCAGTCATGGGTGGTTTATGGCATTGTTTTACCCACATTAATATCAATATGTTGAGCTTATGATTTGACTTCCTGGTAGACTTGGCTGGAGATTGTTTCAAACTCACAATGTCTTTGAGACCGGACAATTCCCTGTGGATGGGCCAGCGAAATCCTGCACCAAACGTATGGTTGAAACCCTATAAATCATGGGATGTTTACCACCTACCCTCTGGTAAACTAACATAGCTATTGAACATGGCCATAGAAATAGTGAGTTTTCCCATGAAAAATGGTGAATTTCCCATAGTTGTTTGTATGTTTACCAGAGGGTATCAACTGCTGCAGGATTTCGCTGGACCATCCACCGGATCAACGGCTGCATCCACCGGACTCTTCGAGGTGCCCAGGGCGTTTCAGGGTCAGCACCCGAGTGGAGGGCCGCTGGAGCACCAACGTCACATCTCCAGTGGAGGGGGTCTCCAAGGCTCGGCCCTTAGCGGAGACTCCGGTTGAAGAAACACATGGGATATGTGAAATGGCAGATGGGTATGTCTGAAAATGGGGTATACCCCCAATTATAGCCATAAAAAGTAGGGATAATGATCAGCAAAACCATTGGGTGTAGGGGTACACTATTTTCAGACAAAGCCATATGTGATGTGAAATGGCAGTGTGTCAAAACCAATAGTACCCCTGTAGTTCACATCAAAATAGCTGGGATTTATGGATGTTCATCCCACTAAAAATGGTATTAATAGGTATTGATCCATACCCAAATATATGTGATGCTTAATAGTTGCGAAAAATGTGAAAAACTTTGATAATTGTTTTTTTTAGGTGTTAATAATGGGCATGGTTAAGAATGGTTGATATCATCAATCAAAATTATTTGTTAATAAACATGTTTTTTATGTTTATAAAGCTCAAATCATTGCTGAAAAGAAACGAGAAAAGACACATCGGGCTGATGTGGGCTTTATTAATTGGGGGCACCCACTTTTAATTGTGGGGGGACACCACTCATGGGGGTACGCTTTGTGAGCTTCCGAAAGTCTCATTTTTCATGCAACAAGTAGTACGAAATTAATCATTTCGGGGATTTTTCTATTAAAGGGGTTTTTGGTTGAATGAACCATGAGGGATCAAGAAAATACCTTCCCCAAGTAAAATCAAAGGGAATCATACTAAATTAGTACCGTGAAAAATATTCGGGTCGAAGAGACTGTTTACTAACTGGGGGGGACCGCACCACTATTGGGGGCGGGAAAACATGCCAATATGACTTTAGTATCAATTGGCCGGGGTTGTTTACTAATGGGGGGGGTTAGCAATCCTACCTTGTCATTGTATAATCTTCAATCAAGGTGACGTTACTGGAATTGTATTGATTTTGATGGGATTTAATCGGATGTCATGGGTTTGTTTATGGAACTTTAGTGGGATTTTGGTGGGATTTCAAGGGATGTTAATTGGATATAACTAGTAGAATATCATGGAAACACTACAGGACTTAACAGGATTTAACTCTCACCGGTGGGGATGTTTTGTTTTTCCCCTGAAAGCTGATCGATCTGAGTGGCAGTTAAAGCCACGAAGCAACACAAGCCCAATACCTCCAGGAAAACTTAGTTACCCACCAACATCCCAAATGATTTTAGTGAACCCCCATGGCCCCATGCTTTTGGGGATGCCCTGGCGCTGCTGCTGAGTCACCATATCTTTTCCTAGTCCTGCCTGCCCATTCACCTCAACAATCCTGTCAAAGACGCCGATGTGATGTGAAGCAGGGTTCAACCTCACCAAGCGGGACCCTTGTGGGGGAATCGGCTGGAATCGGCATGCCACCAAGCGGCTCATTCCAGGCAGCCACCCCTGGCGTCATCTTCTTGATCATCAAGTAGTCCTTGACTTCCAATCTCACCAATCTCTTGCAGACTCTGCACGAATCCCAGTTGTAAAATTCGTTTCTAAACCCCATTGATTATACATCATGATCTATCCACCATAAACCATAATTAGTTAGCCATAGTTAGCCTAGTTATAAACCAACTGAGCCGTGCCGGAGGACTCACTTTATACTGATCCATCCAATTTCTGTCGAGAGGCGGCATCAGACTTCTCCACTCCCAGGTCTGGCTTGCCATCTGGGCCACGGGGCAAAGTTACCATATAGCAATTCTTTTGGTCCTGGATGTGGCTGCAGAGGGGTTCATCCAACCTGATGAACAAAGCTGCAATGGCCACAACTTGCTACCACTATGGGTGGTTGAAAAAGCAAAACACACATTCAAAGCCTTTGAAGGAGAACCCTGTATGTATATATATATATACATATATATATATATACATGATAATTCGAGGTGCCAGTGGATTTTCTCCACAAATTTCGAGAATATCCACTTACAAATCATTTCAGTAGCAAACATGGGGATCCCCAAAATTTGCAATGTTTGTTTGCCATATGATGATTTCAATCCACAGCTGGAAAGCCCATTTGCGGGTTGACGTCTGAAAATAGGCTGCCCCTCACCATTTCCATGATTCATCACCATTTCCCCATTAAGATTCTCATACCTGGTAAGAATACCCCATGGAAAAAACCACATGTTCAGACACACCAATGTAGATCCACAGCTGCCCATGAAACGCAGCAACCCCTAACCCCGGTCCATTGCAGCAGAATCTGCTGTCGCTGATTTGCTCAACGCTGGAGCCGACTTCACTAACTTGCTATCTTTCTCATCCTGGACCCGATGGCATCTGATGGCATCTGATGGTGATGAAAAAAATGGCGTTTTCTGCTGCGGTTCTGGATCAATTCTGATAAAAACTTGAATGGTTAAAGCATGGTTAATCGAGTTGATGATTGTTAATGGTTGCCCTCCAGGCTAACAGTTCGATGTGGAAACCCACCACGTCATTTTTAATCATTTCCCTAGGGAAAACATGGGTTTTTCACATCTATGTTAGTTTACCCCGTGGTTAACACTGGCTAACAATAATGCTTGATAATGGTCAAAATGCTTACAGCATAATCGTTAATCATGATGAATCATCTGGATGAATTAATAATCCACTAACCTCAATAGTCCGGCCAGTTGAAGATAATTACCCTTACTACCAGTAACCATCATGACAGTGACACCACGGTGAGGCTATTGAAATTCAGCCAGATAAATGACCTGCAGGTGCCGGATTACAGTTTGCCGGCTTCTGAAAGATGTTTAAACGGAAAACTGATCCTCAAGATCCTTTGACGTTGCAAGTCGTGGTCTGATTTGCCTCCTCCCAAGTTAATAGGATTGTACAGATGTTACAGAACCATCAAGAAATCTTGGCAAATTGCTTGTTGTGGTGTCCTGATGCTACCTTTGGTATGATCAGCAATGTGTTTTTTTGGGACACAGTTTGCCCCAGCATTGGATTATTTGGTCACAAAAAAATCCACAGCAACCGAAGAACAACACTCTTTGCAAGCAAGTTTCAACTGCCAGCGAGTCAAACGCCTCTTCTTTCTCTGTGCAACAGCAACCGAACATTGCGATGTATGCTCCTTAGCAGACAGTGATGCCGGAAACGCAGTCTTTGTCTTTGCAGGAATAATCAAATAATATGGGAAACCCAAGTCGCAGGACAAAATTCAACCTACCATTTCGGGATGGTAAACGAACCACCCATTTATGTTGATGGCCTGGGGATGGTTTATGGTATTCTGTTTACCACATTGGAAGATTGACATTAAGCCCTTCTTGTCGCACAGGCTCCTGCACTGACCTGACGTTCCCAACCTTCAAAAACCAGTGAGCAGATTCAATCCGAAACGAGAAGTGGCATGCATTGCGCCATAAAAATTTGGGTTTGAAAATAGGCCACCCCAAATTTCATGGTCAACAGTCAACATAGTCAACTGTCTAAATCTTACCATGTTCTTAATCACAATAGAATAGCCATTTGCAGGGATACCCTCTGGTAAACTCACATAGCTGTGGAAAATCACCATTTTTGATGGGTAAATCCACTAAAAAGGCCATTTTCAATAGCTATGTCAGCCATTACCAGAGGGTACCCTCAATTTCAGGCAGACCAATTCGCCAGGGATCTTGGGGTTAGCTTCGGCCTGGAACTTGAGACGCTGCCGTCAGCCCCCTTTGAGTCAAAGGCTGCGGACCAAATTTTCGCCGTGCACCGGGTAGGACGGAAATCTGGGCCCTGTCGGTAGTTTTTTGGCTGCAAATTGGTCATCCTGTCCTACAAGTGAAACTTGTGGATAGGTTTGCTGAAAATATTCACCCCGCTTCGCGTGGGGTGGCCACCCACACCGCAGGTTTATTTCGGTCCGTGAGAGGGGCTAAGGGTGGTTTTCCCCCGTGGGGGCTCCCCAAGCTAAGAAGTTTCACTTCCCCCCACCGTGGGGGCTCCCCAAGCTAGGGAATTTTCACTTTTCCCCCCCGTGGGGGCTCCCCAAGCTAGGGAATTTTCACTTTTCCCCCCGGTGGGGGCTCCCCAAGCTAGGGAATTTTCACTTTTCCCCCCCGTGGGGGCTCCCCAAGCTAGGGAATTTTCACTTTTCCCCCCCGTGGGGGCTCCCCAAGCTAGGGAATTTTCACTTTTCCCCCCCGTGGGGGCTTCCCAAGCTAGGGAATTTTCACTTTTCCCCGCCGTGACAGCTTCCCAAGCTATGGAATTTTCACTTTTCCCTCCCTTGGAGGCTCTCCAAGCTGCGGAATTTCAAATAGCTAGACAACGACGCCTAGATAGTCCCCCAAATCCCGTGTTCTTTGAATGTGTTTCCATGTTTTTGCAATGGTTTCCTTCAAAGCACGGTACTTTACACTTTTGTCGCCATAAAACCGGTCGAAAACATCATGTTCGACAATGCTTCCAATTCCCTTATCTCCCCAACCGTTGAAAATACCGCTATTTACAGTGTTTTCTTCAATTTTTCCATGTGCCAATGCCGGTAGCCAACTCCAACATATATATAAGAAATCCTTCCAAAACATTGTTTTTGACAGTGTTTTTCCAATGTTTCCAGTCAAACAGACGGTAATTTACACGGTTTTTGCCATAAAGGCAGTAAATCCTTCCAAAACATTGCTTTTGACAGTGTTTTTGTGATGTTTCCAGTCAAGCATACGGTAATTTACACGTTTTTTGCTATAACGTCAGTCCAAAACACTTGTTTTTGCAGTGTTTTCAATGCTCTGGCATCCAAAAACCCTGCAAAATCTTGCTATGTACAATGTTTTTTTCATTTTTGGCCGTTTTTCCATTGCCGGAAAGCTACCAAAATGACCCAAAATTCCATTTCAATACCCTCTTGCGCTCAGACACCCAAAAATCCTCGAAAAATGTCGAAAACACCACCGTATTCTGGTCTCGGTGCGAAACCGTTTTTGGGGTCTGGTCTCGGTGCGAAACCGTTTTTGGGCCCCCCCCCCCCAGCTAAAGCTGATATAGCGACTGCTTATATTAACAAATGTCATTGAGCATTTAGTGTTGCTGTTGCCCCCCAATAAGCACGCCTTCACCGCCAAAGCGGTGTGGGCGGATTTATATGATTGAATATAGTTGTATACATGTATTATATGTGCATATACATATATATGTATATACACGCATAAATATATATGCATATATGTATGTAGACATATCTTCATATATCAAATTATATATTTATATTATATATTATATTATATTATTATATTATATTATATTATCTTATCTATATATAATATGTGTATATACACATAATAATCAATCCATTTCCCATAGTTTATGATCTGCAAAATCGCAACTTCCTGGACAGGTCACTCCATTTGATCGGCTTAACAGTTGACTACCATACCCTCGAGTAACTTTACATAACTATGGGTATGGCTTCTAGGGTATCTACTACGGAAAATTGCCCATCTAGTTTTTATTCATCTTGGCTGTTTACCTATGAAAAAGGGCATTTGAATAGGTAAAACATCGAACTAGATGGGCAATTTTTCCATAATTTCCAAAGCAACCATTAGCAACCTATAAAAAATCTATAAAATGACCAGAGAGTAACACAGTGATGCCGTGCCCCCAATCTTGAACCCTTGATGTGGAACCGGGGAACCCCAGGAATTCACCATCCCAATGCTCGGGAAATTTTCCGGCCGCCAGAACTGGGTCATCATCCTGTGCCAAAGCCCGGCTGGTGCTATGCTGCCACAACAGCTGAATGCTCCAGAAAAAACTGCTCCAGAGACATCCAAAAACAGCCAAAAACGTCATCAAATCCCATGGATAGTCCATAGATAGTCCATGAAATGATGCGGAATCCATGGTCAATAGTGATGAAAAAAACCCTGGGCCCTGCCTTGCCATGTCCGCGGTTTCAACATGTTTACCTGACGCGGCATGGCAACAATTCACAACTCTTCGACTTCATGGATATGTGCCAAAATTAAGGACCTGGGGGACCACAGATTGAAGTTTATTCTTAGATCTATTTAGTATTAACATGTATGAACCATCCAATCATTGGGTATATTGGGTTAACGGTTAATTATGACCCAGAGCCATGGAGAAACTCTCAACATGGCGAAAATCTCAAGCACCAGGTCCCTTCAGATCCCGCACCAGGTTCCTTCGCCTTGATCATCACGATCTGCCATCCCCTGTGACCGAAGATTCAAGTAGCCAGCATCTCATTTTGATCATTTTTGCCAAACTGATTTGATCAAAATGTGCTTAAACATGTGGTGATTTTCTCAAAGATCACAGATCATTTTTGCATCTCAAATATTGATTGGTTTTGATTTTTTGATCAAAAAAAGATGGGTTTTCCCCTCATGTTCCCCGTCCAGTTTGGCGGCTCTAGTCTTAGCTCCCAAGTTTGATCCATAACTATACATGCGATAAACTCGATCATAAACCATTTATATTTTGCCATTTCAGAGTTTTGCAAAATGTGAAGTTGACTGGGATTTCCCAGATCAATATTAAGAGATACCGTTCCAACTCTAATACTAGCACAACCTTTCGAACATGGTTGACAGACTGCTTTGGATTCCAGTACTTTACCCTTCACACCTGTGGCAGCAAGGATGTTGTACCTTTCCTGAAACCCTGGAAGTGAACAATTCCCTGATGGTTTTCCAACGGCTGGTTCCACCTTGATATCTTTGCCTCCCGGTCCTCCCGGTGGCAGCACTGCAGCACCCTTTCTAGGCACTCAGCGGTGAAGGAATCGGCCGCGCGTGTTCGCTGGAAAGGCCCAAAAGGTGAACTGCGCGCCCCAGCGCTGCCACGTGGGACGGAGCTGCCGCGAGAACAAATCGGTGACTTTCTGGAACTCGGGATCGGCCTCCTATAGGGGAGATCTGGGTGGAACGGAATAAAAATCCGCATAAAAAAGGTGCAATGAACGGAATCTCTAAGTTGGTATATTTCATGAACTCATTCATATACTTCTTAAGTAGCTCATTCATATACTTCTTAAGTAGCAATGAACATTACTGACAGATTCAACATTATAAACCCCAGCTATTCTAGTGAACTAAACCGACTCCTCAATTCACTGGGATCTTCTGTCATGATCTTATTCAGTATTATCCATGTGTAACTCATGTCTGATAGGTGACTTGTTGCTAAATTCTGATGTTCATTCACAGCAAACAATTCATTCATAGTACCTATCAAAATATTAAATTAGCTTGGATGATCCAACAACCAGCAATCCGGGAAAACTGTATGATTATTAATATATATAAAGTCTATATATATATAGTAATGTGATCTCCAGCAAATCCTGTCAAATTAAAGTGAATCAATATTCCACCGAAAAGTAGTTGATCATATTCCAATTAAATCTCAAAATATACCCACTGATTAAATTAAGTAGTTGATATAATCAGTACATATCAACTAATCAACTAAGTATCAACTAATCACTATCAACATATAAGATATCAAATATACTTAGATGTTAGATAACCAATAACTATCAATAACTATTAGTTGATATAGTTTGATATAAGATAGAGTTCCTAATGGCTACTATGAATAATACTTAGATTATCCAATAGCTACCCTCTGGTAAACATACAAAAAACTATGGAAAATCACCATGTTTCATGGGAAAATTCACGATTTCAATGGCGATTTTCAATAGCTATGTCAGCCATTACCAGAGGGTATATCCCATTAATATCCCATTGAATCACTAGAACATCCCATTAAATCACTATCAAATCCCATTAAATCACTATAAAGCCTGGCATCGTGAAAAACTCCTGGCCACACACTGCGCCGCCGGAGCCGACCGCGCCGGAGCCGCGGGGACCATCGAAGGGTTCGAAGAGGGGCTGTAGAGTCACCTGGCAAAACTGGCGATGGACGATGAACATGGGAAAAACAAGTATCCCATAGGATCCATGTATGGTATATATGCTAACATGGATCCCATCAATATACCCCAGTCATGTTAGCATATATAGCATACATGGATCCTATGGGGCATGAAATACCCATGAAAAATGAGAGTTCGATGATGGAAGATATATGGGAAAATGATGGAACTTTAGAGGTTTCGAAGATTTTGAACTTTGATAAAAATTGCGGTACCCAATTTTTGGACACACCCATGGCCGTTAAACGCGGACCATCTGCCATCTCCATGGGTTCTTCCGGTATCATCCGGTATCCATATTACATGATGTAACATTCTGCCGAATTATGCCTCAAAAAAACATAAAATATACATGTTTATAGCAACCCCAAAACAGCCAAAGGGTCACCGTGTTTCCAGAATGGCATGTGTTTCCAGAATTGTATTCAACCCCAAAAATTCAACCATGAAAAACCTGACCCAGTCTTGGATTTGATTACTGTTTCCCTAATATACATATAGATATGCATATTTTTTGAAAAAATGTAACTACAGTAAACATATTAATTAGAGTTATATATATATATATAATTATATATATATATATATTGGGTAGGCTGCAGAAAAACGACATTTGTTTTCATCATCCAAGCTCTCATATTGGATTATACATAATTATTGGATTATAACCCCCCAACCAATCATGGTCATCGCGCCTCAGAGAAGCAGAGCCACCCGGCCAAGGCCAGGTCCCGGCACAGATCTCTAGGGCTTCCTGTTTCGAGATCAACGGCGAGCGGGTGCGAGGAGTTCCCCAAATTCTTGATTTTTGACGGATTTCGCTTGAGAATGATTATGATATATATAAATTTCATACATGTATATATATATATATCTATAATATATATATACATCATATATATATATATACATATTTCTTGACATACAATTTCAGGAATCAGAGAGACCGACATCAGAGTCAGTTGAGTTCTTTGATGCTATGGACACTGCGACTGCAGGGGGCAAGGCACCGAAGTCCAGCCACAAGATCCGTGGCGATGTTTGTAGCAGAAGCTGCCAAATCTCCGCCTCGCAGCGCGAGCTCACCTGCAAAAAAGGATGGAAAAAAAAACAGCAGAATCAGATAGAATCAGCGTAAAAATCTGGTATCATGATGGGTCATGATTCATCATGATGGATCATGATGGGTCATGTAGGAATGGGAACTTTAATGCAGTAACTATACGTGCTGACACCATCATTTCCCCAAGAATTCAAAGGCCACGGCATGTACATATATCTCCAGATACCTATCAACGCATGTTGATCCGCATAACATGATCGTATATGTTGGGATATTGATCACAGATTAACATGTAGACGCATGGAAAATGTGCCATGATTGGATACATATAATACCATGTGGGGTGGGGTCTGTGTTCTGTTTCAACAACCAAATAATTAATCATGCTGATTCAATGTTCATATCTGAAGTTCATGGCAACATTGACACTTCGCCGTGCCGCAGTAACATACAGTCGTGGCCCAAAGGGAATGAAGGCTTGGCATCTCTTGTTGGATTGGCTCACGCCGGCAGAGCTGGCCCGTCTCACCCGCGCAGCGGCGGGATTGTGCCGAGGAGTTCAGTAGCCCGGAATACTCACGGAAACACTAAGAGACGCTACAACAAATTACCTGTATGATTACAAGATTACCCCCTGAAAGATACATATCATTACTATTACCATTTAGGTTGGGGCGGTTTGGGGGGTATCCTCATTGTTCATCATCATTACATACCAGATTCGACATGACCCCTGAAAGATGCATATCATTGCCATTTAGGGGCACGACATAAACTATTCTGCAACAAACAAATCATCTTCTCACGAACTATATGATGCTGATGATGATGATCATGATGATGATGATGATGATCATGATGATCATGATGACGATGATGATCCTTCCCAATCCGGGCAAACGATGGGGTTTGACCGTAACTATACTATGCCGTAGTCCGTAGTCATTTTGAGTAGTCCAGAAAACACTTTGAGATGCCCATCCCTGCGCCTTCAACACCAGATTGGTCGACGATGTCTCTGACATGTTGCAGCTTTGCCTCTCACAAAACGAACGCCTTCATTTCTAGCCAAAATGTAAACGTCATGAAACGTGGAAACGTCACGAATGATACGAATGGAACCTCCATGCAATCCATGCTGGATTTTTCTTCCATGTGCCTCGGTGGATTGGCGAGCTCCTGCAGTTTGACCGATCCAAGTCACATGGCCCTGCTGAAATGGATCTAAGTCAAGCGACCCCTTCGATTCGGAGGATCTGTATGGATCTGTATGATCTATTTTTGTGAAAAAGCGAGACAGAAAACTGAGTGAATGTTTTGAATCACCCAGTTCGAATTTTCGTTGTTTGTCTTGGGATCAAACACCTGTAATTCCACTGCCAAAGAGGTCCAAACGCTCTAAGTGGACACCTCATCAAGATGCGGTCAGCCGTGTTGTTGTTGTTGCTGCTGCTGCTGTTGTTTTTGTTGCTGCTGCTGTTGTTGTTGCTGCTGCTGTTGTTGTTGCTGCTGTTGTTGTTGCTGCTGCTTGTTGTTGTTGCTGCTGTTGTTGTTGTTGTTGTTGCTGCTGCTGTGTTGTTGTTGCTGCTGCTGTTGTTGTTGTTGCTGCTGCTGTTGTTGTTGCTGCTGCTGCTGTGTTGTTGCTGCTGCTGCTGTTGTTGTTGTTGCTGCTGTTGTTGCTGCTGTTGTTGTTGTTCTTATGCCAGCATCATCATCTCCGGATATCTTTGCGGACATACAGGACCGGGACATGGCTGTCTGTGACGATCTGAGAAATGATGAGTCACAAGCAAATGTCAAAAGCACGAGGCCCTCTTTCTAGGTCAACAACAAGCCCGGCTGTGTCCAGAAATAACCCAACAACCAATGGTCAATCATAAAATTGGGGAGTAAAAGTCTGTAAAAGACCTTAATTGGGGCATATTGGGGCCATAATAAGCCGGGCTTTCCATCATATCCCTAGTAAAAAGGCCATCATTGGGACATTAAAGCCCCCAGTTTCAGACACAGACTGTCCTCTCCGAAGATCGATCTGGCGTCAGCATCTGCCGTGGGGTTCCCCCCACTGGGAAAACTGAAGAATGCAACCAGGGCTACCAAATCTACCAACCAAGGTTCACTATACCTGTTTTGATATGTGATGATTTTGAGTGATAACATGTGATAACTTAGACCTTACCGTAGAATACCAGCGACATGCCATGTTGTCAGATGTTGTCGGCTATCACCACTGTAACCTAAAGTTTAGCAACCAGGGCAGGAAGGCCCAGATTCCCAGTCACTGTCAGTGCTATGTTCAGCAGGGATCAGCAGGACTTGGAACAAGACGAGCCATCTGGTTTCTTTGACAATTGAACATGGACGCCATTCATGGCGATCAGAAAAAAAACCATGGGCAAACGAGGTTTTGAAGCAGTGAAAGCAATTGATTTTCCCCGACATTTTCAAAAACAAACCGTTGCCTGTTGTCCTTGCCCTCTATCAAACATGGCAACGGAACATTCCCCATTGATTTTATATGCGATTCCCGGCAAGTTTGATTACCAGAGGGTAAAGCATTCGCCACTCGTTTTTCAGCCAAGGCCTGAATTGCCACACTCCACGACCAAGGCTGCACCTGACACAGAAAACTCATGTTGCGCTGATAAGGCAACATACCTTTATTTAACATCCTGTGTATCTACAGTGCGAACATACATAGATACTCTATGTTCAAGATATTTCAAGATATGTTCAAGATACATGGTGAATCTCAAATACCTGCCAAAAAAACTAATTTTTAGCTGGTTGGGACATTTTACATCATTTTACCGTTTTACCATTGATAGCAAAGGATTTTAAAGTACCAAAGTATCTAACCAGTCGGTGGACCCAAGATATGTCAACATGTTTCAAAATAATTTGCAGAGCTGGGTCAGCTGGGCTGCGCAGCCAAGGGACGGTTTTCTCTCCGACGTTCTAGGTCCAGTAGCCATCGAACTGCAACGAGCATCCATCTCTGTGCCTTTTTTCGGCCAGTAGCAATCCCCCCAAAAGATAGAAAAAGTAGATTATCCCACTTTGCGACATGGAATGACATGGAATAGCTGTAGTGGCTGTAGTGTATTTTCTATCTTTTGCAGATCAATGGTAAAAAACGGGATAACCTCGGTAACTGAAATCCCACGCTATGGAAAATCCCTGCCATGGGCGTCACCTGACTGGAGAGGGACCCAGTTCCATTGTCTCCCTAGATTTCCCGAGAGGTATTCTTGATTTTACCCAAATTTCCCCCGAATTTTGGTGGTTAAATCATGTTAAATCACCATTATTCTTGGTTAAACGATGTAAAAAAACACCATTGGTGATCGCTATGTCCCATCGTATTCCTACAAAAAATCCTTGGTTAAATCACCATTATGTGGAGGTCTCCTGAACTAGGGGTACCCCTAAATCATCCATTTTAATAGAATTAATTGTCCATTATAAAACATCCATTTGGGGGTATCCCATTTATGGAAACCCCATATATCGAATCATATCTAATATAAACTACAAATATCCCAATTAATGTGGGTAAAACAATGCCATCTGCACCATCCCCCAGTCATCACCATTCATCACCATTCATAGGTGGGATTCGTTTACCATTCCCAGTCATGGCTGGTTCATGGCAGTGTTTTACCCACATTAATATCAATATGTTGAGCTTATGATTTGACTTCCTGGTAGATTTGGCTGGAGATTGTTTCAAACTCACAATGTCTTTGAGACCGGACAATTCCCTGTGGATGGAATTGCGAAATCCTGCACCACCTTGAAGACCTTGTATGGTTGAAACCCTATAAATCATGGGATAAAACACCTATCAACTGGTGCAGGATTTCGCAACCATCCACCGTATCAACCAACGGCTGGATCAGAATGGCTCTCCGCCTGCGCCGGTGGCACAGCGCTCGGCTTCGCAGCCTCGAAACGTCCACATGAAATCCACATCAAATTGCTCTCATATTGTTATATTGTTTCCATATCCCTTATACAAATACAATTATATTACATACAAATATATAAGAATATATAAGATAATAATATGTATATATATATATATTATGACAATGTATAACTGTATAATATATTGGTCATGTATTTCAAGCTCTTCTTGAACTTGATCGTGCGACCCATTGACCCCATTTCCACACCTCCAGCATCAGCATCCGCTCTCGCAGCTTCGCAGCGACATCGGCATAGAAGAGAAGCCAAAAATGACTGTCGTGCCAGTCGAAGACCTAGGTACCAACAACGGGGTCAGTGGGGAGTGGCCATGGCGAATGGCAAGGTTTGATTCAGTCCGGATTCCACTTGTGATGGTTTGGTTTTGTTATGTTCAAAAGATTTGAAATGACGGGGGTTGATTTGAACGGCAATGGAAATCACTTTTCCAATACTTCTACTTGGGTAACACCTGTAATTAATCATCCAGAGTTTAGTTGACATTACTGGGGGTGGAACACAGAATCTAGCTCCAAAGATGGATGACTCCACACATAATCAAGAAGACGTTTCTTGTTGTGTGAGATTGGACGAATTCATTGGCTGCCACGCCATTATTTCCCATGTCCTTCATCTCGGCATTCTTTTTCCGCATTCAGCGAACAAAGATAGCAATGGAAAATCCATTTCGCTCAGTCCCTTCATGATGTCAATCAATTTCCAATGGATATGATTGTGATTGTTTTATGATTATTTTTCCATGGTCAAATTCCCATCCTGTCCCAGATGTGTAGAGAACAGCACAGCGCCACAGCGCCATGGGGCGCGGCTGGCGGAAAGTCCGCTCCACAGAGTTTCCCTGTCAAGGCCTGGGCGTGGCGCGAAAAGGCGAAAAGGCGAAAAGGCGAAAAGGCGAAAAATGCTGGGCACTGGGAAATCCCGCCAGTCATGGAGGTTTCGATTAAAAAAAAAACATCTAGATTAATATAGATGATTGTAGATTATTGTAGATGATTGTAAATGATTGTAAATTATTGTAGATGATTGTAAATGATTGTAGATGATTGTAGATGATTGTAGATGATTGTAAATGATTGTAAATGATTGTAGATGATTGTAAATGATTGTAGATGATTGTACATGATTGTAGATGATTGTAGATGATTGTAGATGATTGTAGATGATTGTAGATGATTGTAGATGATTGTAGATGATTATATACGTTGGTAGTAAAAACAAAGCATGCTGATTGGACAATGTTGATTAAACAATGTTGATTCATAGTGCTGATCTGAGACAAAGTTGGATATCCTCCAATGCATGGCATCTGGGTGTGGAAACATGGGAAGGTCACGAGTTTCAAGAATGATTTCTCACCGCCGGAATCCCCATGATTCTTGGGTCGCTGAATTGCTTTGAGATAGGAAACCCATTGGACTTGGGTTGAACGCATTTTTCCAAACATCACTTTTTGCAAATCTTTTTCTCAACATTTCTCAACCAACCCATGTATTTTCTGACCAGTGTTGACCCTTAGCCAAAGCCACCAAGAGAGTTCGCCATCTGCTGCGATTGCTCCAAATCCTCTGGGAAGCCCTTAGCACCTGCCGGAGCCGCGGCTCGGGATCTGGGTGAACCCAGACATGGATGTGTTTTTTTGGGTTTTTTTCCACGCAAATTGAACACCCCGATTTTTGGAAAAAAACACCACAATTCCATGTTCAACATGTTCATTCAACACTCAACCACCAGAATTTATGGGTTCCCACTGTTAGTCATCAAGCGATTAGTCATCTGCCGTCGGACTGCCCACCTTGGGGACTTCCCAGTGCGATGTTTCGAAAGTATCTCCAGCGATGCGCTTCCGTGATTTCATGTCGCAGAATATGAGCCAACCTAAGTTGCAGAATGCGCAGGATCTGTAGAAGTGGCATTTTTAGGTTGAGTTGAGGATACCCTCTGGTAAACTAACATAGCTATGGAAAATCACAATTTTTAATGGGAAAATCCACTATAAATGGCCATTTTCAATAGCTATGTTAAATTACCAGAGGATAGTTGAGGTATCAACTAACACAACATCTCATCATTTGCAGCGCTGTATCTCCAGTGCTTATATAAATTTATATAATAATTTGACGGGAGCTTGTGAAGTTCTTAAAGACCAGACATGACCAGGCGTCGCCAACAAGATCAACAAGGCACCTCTTTAAAGGCAGGACTCCCACAGTTGTCATCAGGAATAAAATTAATCATCTAACCATTATCTAACCATCATATACCATTAACCATCATTAACCATCATTAACCATCGTTAACCATTATGAAACCATCCAACATGAAGATTTTGGCAGCCATCCCCTGCTGGTGGCGCGCCAACCGAGAGAGGACACCCACCTTGGGATGCTCGAGGTGGGCAAGAAGATCGCCATATCCTCCGAACTGATAAACATTGAGATCACCGTCACTGAGCGAGAAATCGTCAAATCTGGAAATCCATCAAATCTGATTATAATCATCATTATAATCATCAATTATCATCAACATTCATCAACCCATTTTAATCTGATTACCCTCTGGTAATTTAACGTAGCTATTGAAAATGGCAATTAATAATGGATTTTCCCATTAAAAATTGTGATTTTCCATAGCTATGTTAGTTTACCAGAGGGTAAAATGATTGTGGGCCTAAAATCAACCCATCAACCCATCAACCCTGGCCCCTCATTGGCCATCCTTCCATGGCAGAAGCCGATCCAAAGGTGGCTGGAAGTCATCCGAGACGATGATCGGAACACATCCATGCGCCATGACGTCATAGAGGCGCACGTTGTTGGTATGGGATGAACCTGGTTGGTTGTTTGTTGCAGAAACGTCCAAGGTCAGTGTTGCAAAAACACTAACTGGTTTCTATTCAGAAAGTTCCATTTCAGAAAGTTCCGAAAACGATGTCGAAAAGGACTCGTTTTTCGGTACCAGTTGAAAGAAGGCACTAAGATACCCAAACAAAACACATCAACTAAAGGGCTATCCAACTCTATCGAATGCAGGCTTCGGACATGTTCGGAGATGGTCCACTGTACAACCTGCCGTGCACCCATAGTTTGACTCTTCCGGGAAATCACCGACACTGTGGCCAAACATCAGAAACGGCCTCGCAAAACAAAGCAAAAGCGGGCTCGCCACATCCGTTCACTGTAGTCTTCGCTGCTAGTTGCGAAGGATGTAGAGACATCCTGGATCTGAGATGTTCCAGGGTTGGATTTCTGTCTTATGCGTTTTATGCGTTTCCGAGTCTTATGTGTTTGTTCTATCTTTTTGTCAGGTTCGTGGAAGTAAACAGTATCAGGACGCAGCCAGAAGTGATACTCTAATCTTCGATGCGGGAATTCTGTGATATGGACCCTGTGGCGGAATCCAATAGAAACCAATAGGGAATTGGTGAATTTCCTGGTACAACAACACTATGACACTATGAGTGTGTGTATATATATATATTATATTACCATCTGGTTATTTAACATAGCCATGGAAAATCACCATTTGTAATAGGTAAACCATCTATAAATGGGTCATCTATACCATGGCTATGTTAGTCATAACCAGAGGGTTTTTCTGTATCAGTTTTTCCTCGTTTTTCTCAGTCAAGTCTCGAAGCCTGGCTCGTTGGCGAGCACCTTCACGATCCTCTCCCTGGAAAATTTACTGCACATCACAACAGAATTTCACCGTAGCTTTCCGACATGTTCAAATACACGTCGACTAGATCAGATGAGTGGCAAAATGTATCAACATGTGGGGATGGGTCAAAACCCTGGCACCTAGTGAACATCAAAATAGCTGGTAAATGCATGTTCATCCCCCTAAAAATGGTATGTATAGGTATTGATCCATAGCCAGGTATCAACATGTGGCAAATGTTTGAAAGTCATTAAGCATCATTAAGCGGCATCATGATGAAGTCAAGCATCGCGCAGTGTTTGACTTTGCAAAAGAACTGGGACCAGTCCTAGTCCTAGGCTTTGAGACTATGCAGATCTGACGATGCGGTTTACCTCATGAGTGTCGTTCTGTGTCTAGGCCCTAGTGATTGTCATCATGTCAGCTTCGAAGATGACATTTCATGTTTCTATGGATCATCAAATATGTAGAAAAAGCAATAGAAAAAGCCATGTTGAACAATTGAATAACCAATAAGTCAAGTTATAACCCAAAGTTCTATCCATTTCGTTGGATAGAAACACTATCAATGTATACCATGCAAAAAAAACCGAACAGAGAAACCATGACAACCCAAACCCACCTGGCACAACTGTTGGGCGAACCCGCGAAGAACGCCACTACGGGGCGCCCTGCACGGAACATCGCACGGAAGCCCACGCCAGAAAGCACAAAGATGAAGATTTTTACATCATCAACGGCATCAACGGCGATTAGCCCTTGAAGAAAGTTAGTTAACATGATTATTGATACGTTATTGATATATATATACATAATATATGGTTCAAATTTACTTAACCTTTTTAACCTGAAAAAAACAAGAGTTCATTTAATATTTAAATATAATGGGTGATGTCCCCTTAAATCTATACTGTGCAATGCAGTGCGCACTGCTGATTGCGAACAAAACACCCGCTGAACTAACATAAGACCCAATTTTTGGGTTCTATCAAGTTCTATGTATCTATCTATCTATCCATCCATCTATATATATATTATATATATATCCGTTTTTCAGTGCTCATTCAGACATTGTGACAGAATGATTTCTCCAAAGCCTTGCCATCAAGAGACCATGAAGAAAAAAATCGGTTCTTTTCACCATGAAATTTGAGACAAGTTTTACCCAATTTTCAGCCCAAAAAAATCCAAAAAATCCCCATATGGATAAAAGTTACCCATTATCAAGTATAATTCAAATATATATTGGTAAATATAAAATCCCCATTATAAAAAAAAACAGATATTTTTCCAATATGTTTCAAACATAATTCAGATATTCCCATGATCAATTTCGAAACATATTGGAATGATTAATTATCCATTCAATCCCCAGAAGGCCTCCGAATCTCCTGGAACGCGGATGAGGGGAAAAGCGCGAGGGGATGGAAATCACCGAGTCTTGGACCCGGAAGTTTCCTCCACGGGAACGCGGAAATCGGCCAAAAAATGGAGAGATTTCAAGCAATTTTAGCAATTTGTTCAGCGAATTTCAGCTGTCAACAGATTTCAGCTATCGGCCAAACTCAGCAAATGTCAAGAAATTCAGCAGAATTCCCCGAATTTTGAAGAAGGTTCCAGCAGCATCCATCCATTCCACAGGTTCAACAGCGCAGATTATGATAGATTATGCAATGCCAAAGCTTCTGGCCGGGAACATGTGATTCGCCACGGCCACCGGTTCAGTGTCCAGCTTCCAACAGTCAGGGCCATCCTGGGCGAATGCTGGTCCCGAGTTCCTGGAGATGTGAAGAGAAATTCCTGCCATCTTCATCCACCTTCATCCATCCTTATCCATCCTTATTCATCCTTATCCATCCTTATTCATCTTTGTCTGTCTTCATCCATCTTCATCCTGTCCCTATGAAAACATATATTCACAAATCACTTAAAAACATTGTGACTACATGGTCGTTACGTTACAGGAGAGCCATTCAAAGTTTGGCTTCTTCGTGAGTTGACTCCTGATGAATTGCGCACGAAACATGGGCATGTCTCCACCAGAGCCTTCCCCCCTTGATAACCTCCGGTAATCAGCTCCTGGCTTGCTGGAAAATCACCCATTTGTAGATGATTTTCCCATTGAAACCGGAAACCTCCGGGCATATCCCAGCCGCGTTTGATGACAGAGGGTAAATCTTCTTCACCAACACTGTGGGGTAGTTCACGGCATTTACAACTGGACAACCACCCACTTATAAACGGTTATTTCATGTGATTTCCCACTTATTATCCAGGCTGAACCAAGAAGTATTGTTGCTGAAATACCCATCCCATTTCTATCTAACAATATCTATTTCCCCTTGAATATCCCATTGAATCACCCTTCGTTCTGCGTTGGCAGTGCACAGGTTCTGTGAAGAAAATCTTGGCGTCCTGCATCCAGGTTGCACTCCTGAGAGGATGATTTGATTCATAGGCAGGAGATCTTATGAATCATCATGTGAACCATATAAGTATCAATGCATCTAAGTAGCTTTGATTCATATATATGAGCGATTGTGAAAACCCTAGGTTCACGGAAAGGACATCCACAAATTTGGGAAGGTCCCATCGCTTACCACACGTTTGTACAATAATGATATATGGTAAACTTGGGGGGTATCGCTTGCAGGAAACTGCTGCATTTATATATATATATATGTGATGAACTATGAATAATATGTGATATTTGGGTATCGCTAATGTGGATATTAGAGAAATATGATGACATAACCTTGAAAAGGGGTATCGCTAATTTGGGAAGGTCCCATCGCTTACCTCGTGTTTTTAACAATTTCCATCAATTTCCATAAACCAATGTCCGTCGAATACATATTTAGTATTGCCGGGGTTTTTACGGTTGCTCATATATATATATATATACATAATATATGATATATATTATATATAATGTATAATATTATATATATATATACATTATAATGATATGATATATATATATATAATTGTATATACTATATACCTTCATAGTGAAATACATGGAATCTTCAGCATTCAATCGCGGCCTTCGGATCTCGGCTTACACATTCCATGGTGAATCTTAGATGCCCAGACATCGAACATTTCGATGCTGGTTAGGACGGTTTTTACCATTGATAGAAAAGGATTTTTTGGTGTACTAGTTGGTAAAAACTATGGTAAAGTATCTAATCATATCTAATCAGTATTAAGGATTGATTAAGGATTGTATCTAATCAGTCGGTTGACCCAGAGTCATGTACACAACAAGATTCAATAACTATGAGATAAATCAGGAGATCTTTTTGGGGATTTTTTGGGGGATATTTTGGGATAGTGACCCCCATCCAATTTCCGGATTTCGAGATCCTCCGTGAAAAACCCCTGAAGTCGGCCCATGTCGGTTCTTCCGTCCCATGCTACGGCCCCGACAGGTGCACTGGAAGAGTTTTTTTGGTGCATATTAATAGAGGTTTCCCAAAATGGGAGTAGCCCCAAATCATCTATATTTTGTCTTATTTTGTTAGGATTTTCCATTACAAACCATCCATCGGGATACCCCCCCATTTCAGGAATATGTATACAATCTATACCCGTCATTTTTTCGCCCAAGTCTCTCAACTCAGGTGAACTCACCCAGGTTATGATTCCATTGCTACCTGGCCCCCAAGTACCCAGCTGATACCCAGCACCAATCCGTCCCCAGAGAGAATTCCTCCAAGGTTCCCGGTCAGGGACCCGACGCTCCAATTCTCCAACCAAACGGCTGAGCGAGGGAAGTCTTGTCCTTGGCAAATTTAAGGCACATGTTCGGAGTAAAATGAACACCAGCGGCAAATTTGGCACACTGTTGGTGCAGAAAATCATCGAAAATCCACACAACTGCTGCCATCATGGCTGCCATATGCCATCAAGCCGCTGCCCAAATCCATGCTGAAGACCGTCCAAAAGTTTCGGCCCTGGTACCTTGGCGTTGAATCATACACAACCTTACCAGGTGAGGCCCCCCAGGTATGTCTGTTGTTTTTTTTTTTTTAAAAAAACATGTATACTAGTTCGAAAAAAAAGTTCGTTATATCCCCCCTTTATCAACATTAATCAACCATAGAATGAACGACAAGTTATTTGAGCCATTAAAAATACACCTATCCCATCTCATTACATCAACATACCCATCAACGAAGGTATAAGTTATAAGATGTTATAAGTTTGTTTAGATTCACCCCAGTAAGTATAATACTTATATTCCCCATTAATCAACTATTACATCTTCACCAAGCGATAAACTAACTTAGCTGTCACAAATCAGCTGCAAATCCCATGGCATCCCCATTCTTGGCCATGAAAAAATACCCCGGTTTGGCATCTCATGAAATACTCGTTGATGGGTCCCCAAACAAAAAGAACTATCATAATCCCCAATAACTTTGGTAGTATAGACTCCCAATAATCAATCAATCAACTAGTAGTATTTCATGGGATTATGATAATATAGATGATTATATGATCCCCATAATCCCCATAATATCCATAATATCAATAATATCCATAATATCCATAATTCTCATGACTCCCAATAATCAATCAACAATGGTAGTTTCAATGGCTCAAATGATTCAATCGCCATCGCAGCCATCGCAGCCATCGCAGCCATCGCAGCCATCGGCACTTCTGATGCACCGGAGATCGATGTGCCCAGCGAAGGATGGGAACCAAATAGCCCAGCTCTGCACGCTCAATGGCCTATGAATTTTCAGGAAGAGAAGTGGTTACAACTATTAATAGTGGTTACTTAAACACTAATCTGATGGCCATCAACCCATGAATAGTGGTTTATAGTGGTTTATAGTGGTTAATAATGGTTAATAGTGGTTAATAGTGGTTAATAGTGGTTAATAATGGTTAATAGTGGTTAAGAGTGGTTAATAGTGGTTTATAGTGGTTAATAATGGTTAATAGTGGTAAATAGTGGTTAATAGTGGTTAATAATGGTTAATAGTGGTTAATAGTGGTTAATAGTGGTTAATAATGGATAAAAATGGTTAATAGTGGTTAATAGTGGTCAATAGTGGTTAATAGTGGCTAATAGTGGCTAATAGTGGCTAATAGTGGTTAATAGTGGTTAATAGTGGTTAATAGTTGGTAATAGTGGTTAATAGTGGTCAATAGTGGTCAATAGTGGTTAATAGTGGTTAATAGTGGTTAATAGTGGCAAATAGTGGTTAATAGTGGTCAATAGTGGTTAATAGTGGTTAATACTGGTTACTAATGTTGATTTATAGTGGTTAACAATTCCAGGTTGATCAACAGGTTGAAACTATCCTAGATCCTAGGGGTTTAATTCCATGATAAGGATAGTGGCTACTAATGGTTTAATAGTGGTTAATGGTCATTATATGATAATTGTTAATGATTAATAGTCTGGATAAATTACTGTATATAAATCTATTGATCGTCGATGTTACTAGTGGTTAATAATTGTTGATAATTAATAGTACTAATAGTGGAATAATATAATGGTTAACAATGGTTAAGAGCTGACAGCTTACTGTTGTTAACCATCCTGTTTTTTTTTTTACGATGCTTCAATAGTGGTTAATAAATATTAATACTGGTTATACATTAATTGCTAATTATTTACAATTAATCTGGATCATCTATGATTTGTAATTCAGCAACCTGAAATACCGATACTTGGGATAGCCGTACTGTAAGCATTCATTCCAGTGACACGGTGCATCGAAATATCAAGTCTCTTCAGAGCTATCAAACAATGAACGACAAACAATGAAAATCAATGAACACCAATGAACATCAATGAACAACATAGTACAACCAACAGCTGGTGAGTCATCCGATTCAATGGGAGTCGAACAAGCAATGGACAACCACCATTCTGATAGTTGAAACATACCATCAGAATCCATCAGATGACCGCGCTTCCTAAAACACTGCTCGCATAATCAATATAATTACAGATGTACTCAAAACAAATCAAAAGTAATTTCAAAACCTCTAAGCAGGATCGCATGTGCGGGATGTCAGCACTGTTGAACTGTTGGGAACTGACCTGAAGAAACTACAAGGAAAAACGCTCGTCGCACTGTGGGCTCAGCAGCCATGGAAACGGATGGTCGCCTGCCAGTGCGTGTAGTTGTAGTTTTCTCTCAGGGCGAAGTAGAGCTGTGAGACACAGTGTGGAAAGTAGATAAACTCCGCCTCGGCTGCTCATGACATGGTATAGCAGCATAGCAGTCCTAGAATCGCTGTCCAGTGCTGGAAAACTTCTAACTCTTTGATACTCTTTGCATGGCTTCAGGCAAACATGGCAGCCTGGCAATCGAAAGTCACGGTGAGTACCCCATCATCCATCACGACTGACCGATGCCTCCTCCGGCGAGCGGGCGAGATATTGAGGACCGTTGCGCAGCATCTCCATAAAGTACCACTCCATAGAGTATTGATAGCCATTGTACCTGATGCAATACGATGACAATGACAGTTTCACACAGTGATCCCAGCTGACCTCCGAGACTGGGATTGGCGAAGCTACAATGCAGTCGGTAAGTCGCCATTTCAAACAGCAGTTTACTTACAGGATCTTACATGTCAGCATCTCAAGATATCTCAAGATATCTCAAGATATCTCAAGATATCTCTAACTCCCAAGCCACATCTCATCATCTCTCATCAGCCAATTCTGAATGATGAAACATGATTCAACCCCCATTTCTGGTGTAACTTACCCATCATCTCCTCAACAACAGTCGCAGTTTTTTTTTCCCGTCGAGTGACTCACATTCCACCACCTCACTGAGACCGAAAGCGCAGAAGGGATGCCAGGAGCCATCGTCATCCCCAGGGCACACAGCGCTGGGTGGGTCCAACAGAAAGAAGCGACCAAACAGCGCCTGGTTTTTTTCGGACTCGAAATGCTTCGCAAAGTCGCGATGGAAATTCAGCAATTGGTTTGAATCGACATGATCAAATTAGTTTACTGATGTTAATTAGTTCATCTTTTCATGCACCTATAGTATCCTACGTATAGTATAGCCAAAGTATAGCCTGGTATCAATGGGTCCTTTGTTGAACGCATCTCTCTCCACCCGGTCTCCGCCGGTCTCAGCCCACCTGGATGCTACCAGAGTCCAAGGGAACAAAGAAGCCAAAGGCGCTGTGAAGCGACAGGAGCCGCAGCAGCATCCGCAATCGCCATGGCGAAAACGGCCGACTGAAACAATGGGCTGGTTGGTGGTTGACCTACCCCTCTGAAAAATATTAGTCAGTTGGGATTATTCTTCCCAATATGTGGAAAAATGAACAATGTTCCAAACCACCAATCAGTGGGGGATGGATCATGATTCAATGATGGATCAGTGAAAAAACGCCAACTGGATAAAACGGGATAGAACTTGCGCATTGCAACTCGGTGCTTTTTTGTTCTGCTTGTCACCTTGAGCCAATGGGCATCGGTGTTTTTCCATCAACCAGCTGTGCAGAAGTTCTGGCTTTTTCCCCAGTAAAACATGGAGTAACCAGTTCATTCTTCTATAGATTTCTATAGATTTCTATAGATTTCTATAATTACAACATATTGAAATCCTGGCTGATCATGTTAGATACATCGCCTGAAATTCCCCGCACGTTGTGAAATTTCCCCACCTCCTCAGCCTTGTTGAAGCGGCTCGATGACCCTCGATGCCTGAGGAATCCCAAAGAAGATGGGGCAGTCCATGGTAACTCAGAAATACTATTTAAAAAAAAAAACAGTAGATGGGGCGTTGAAAATTAAGATCTTTCATGGACTTTATAATATATTATATATATAATATATAGTACAACAATGTACAACATATAAGTTAAAACAATATATAATACAATATATAATACCATATATAACACACTATATAATACAATAGTATCATGTATACATATATATATATATAAAAGCTGAGAAGACTTGGCGTTGTCATCATCTCATGTACCAAAAGGGGCCCTACCTCGCATCATCCCTTCCGATCGCCTGCTGGCCACAGGAAAAACATGGACAAACCAATGGCTAGCAATGAGAAATATGAGAATGAAACAACCAGCATTTGGTATGATCATCCCCAATTGCATGTGGTTTTGCATCTGGTAGAAAAATGTCATTGCATTTGTTCCACACATCTTTGACAATGAAACAACCAGAGGTCAAGGTTCACAAGGTCAAGGTGAGGCTCGGCGTTGCTGAATTCGATGCACTTTCCACTGGGACACCTTCTGGACACCCTCAAATGGCTGGCCTCAAATGGCGGTGAGATCTGATTCCAAACCTCGGCGTCCATGGAGGTGGTTTTTTGGGTCATGGCCATGGCTTTTGCCCCAAAAAAGGGGCTAGACTTATTTGAATTGTTCATATATTTTTTAATGGTGAACATATGGGAAAATCATCGAAAATGATGATCAACTACTTCTGAAGCTGAAATTCCGGTCGATTCCTCACATGGAGTCTCTCCTCGGAAATGGATGGAAGTGGATAACACTCCCAAAGTTTTGGTCAATTTCAGGATGTATTATAGGGTTTGTATGGGTTTGTCTGAAAATGAGGTACCCAAAAAAAACAGGGTTTATTGTCATTTTTTGAGGATATACCCCACATGTTTCAGACAGACCCGTGACAGACCCATATGGGGTTTCTTAGAATTTGGTATCCCCAAAACCATGGGTTTCAACACTAACATGTTCTAATTTTGGATGATTTGGGGTAGGCCATTTGGGACAACATCATACCCCACGGAAGAAATTCAAACTTCGACTGCCGGAGAACATCTGCCCGGGTCATGAGAGGTAAATACCCGGGGCCCGTTCTTGATCTTTCTTGTGAACAACGTCAACCTAGGATATCCTAAACCTTGGTTAATCAAAGGCTTGTAACTGCCACAGTCCTGCGACCCATGGCTGGGACGCATCACATCCGTTGGCTCCAAGGTATGCGAGGGGCACACGGCCAGCCTGGAGACACGGCCAGCTTTTGGTGGGATATGGTGGGCCGATTGATCGGAAACCATCTCTGGAAACCATATATCCCATAGGATCCATGGTGCTGCTATATATGGTAACATGGATCCCATCAATATACCCCAGTCATGTTAGCATATATACCAGCACCATGGATCCGTCATGGGTATGTTTGACATTGTTTGACCATTGAAAATGGAGGTGTCCACGGTGTCCATTTGAAAATTTTGTCCCTTCATCCCCCAAAGGGGGCCAATCATTTTGAAGCACATTCACATCACATCATATTCCGGTGGCTACCCATGTGCGAGCCCTATCCTCCCATATCAACATCAATCACAACATCATTTGGCCCAATGACAATGAACCTACTTCAAGGAGCTTCGCAAGATTGTTTCTGTGCCACAATCTCTAGCGAATATTTAGAGAATATCTTCTATTTGAAATGCTTTTGGGGGCCAAACCAAAACATAATTATTAAATAGCTTGGAAGTTGGCCTGTAAGACAATAGGTGGAACATCCTATATCTTAGTACCTTGGAATACAATCAAGTGTTATGGGGATATATGCTGCTGACTGAATAGTTTGTAAAATTACAAAAAGCTAAACCAATATCAATCAATATCATATCATAATATCTGTATAATCCCGATAATCACCACAATAATTAAGTCTTCAACTACGCATAACAGTATATAATTAGCAATTATGCAGTTCTAACCACCTAATATAGAACATATAAATCATCACCATACATCCCATAAAAACAACCCGCTTTCTGAAGAAGCCAGTGCTACCGGGAGAACAGTCGCGCGCCTCAGCAGCAGTCACCCCAAAGTTGCTGGCGCTCAAGATCACGGCGTCGGCGCTGGCGATGGTGAGCCACTGCCTGCAGGAAACCCTGACATCAGCAACCCTTGAAGAGTTATCCATAGTATATCCATAGTATATTCATAGTATATCCATAGTATATTCATAAGAATGTTGATGTGGGATGATGTGGGTCTGTCTGAAAATGGAGTATATATATAATATAGAGTATATCCATGTATATCAATGCCGTAATGCTTCTGAAAATAGGAACATGATGATGTTCAGAAATGAATTTAGGGGGACCACAAAAATTCAGACATACCCATGGTCAAGTTGTGCTTCACCAATTTAGGGTACCCCTATAGGTCACTGATTTCCAAACCTTGGAAGTTTGTTTTCTTCACCTAGTGAAACACCACTGGGGCCATTGCGACTCATGTCTTTCCTGAAAATCCGAAAATTGCAAACCATGATGCGAAGGGGTCTCTCTTTCAAAAAAATTAAGACAATCCCAGATATTGAGGTTCACTAAAATGGGGGGGGTACCTCTCAAATCATCCATAGGATCTTCCATTCTAAACCATCCATGAATCAGTTGGATTTTTTCATCCGTTGTCAAGGCACGCCCAGGTATCAGTGAGGCCCATGACCTCTGCGATCGCTGTGCTCGCTGTGCACAGGATGTAAAACTATCATCATGTTCGGGTCACTTCATGGGTGTCAATGTCAAAGATATTTTCCTATCATTTTCTCGATGTCATAATCATCATTTTCTTGATAGTCATTCTAGTCATATCAGATATTCTCGATGTCATTCTATCATCCTTTCCTGTCATCACTTGGTTCGTCGTCTGTCGAGGGCCCCGGGGCCCCGGCTGCGATCGGCAAAGGGCTTCGATCCAAATGTATCTCGCGGAAAAAATCTCTGGAAACCAAATCCGGCGTGGAAGCTGGGGACGTCATGAAATGGTGCATATATATTGTTATATAATTGTATATATGTGTGTATATATAATCATATATATATATATTAGGTATTTATTACATAATATTGTATAATTATAATACATGATATGTGTAAACATGATAGGTTGTGAGTCAGTTCACCAAACGGTACCCTGGACCTTGCAGCATGCCCTGAGGCTGTTGCAATAGCAGCATCTTGGTCACCGGGTAAAAACGCCAACCTCGAAATACAGTTTTCCAACTCACATAGACCCTATGAAAAGAGGGCTCGGAAGACACTTTCCACAGAAAATCGAGTGATTCTGGGGGTCTATGTTTATGTTGGTTGGGGATGGTAGATTCTACTTCTAGCCTCAGGCCATGACTTGCAATTTGCAGGTATCAAATAGCTTGTTGGCTTCCCACAGAAACACTCCAACACTGTCACAACAATGGACGGAAGAATCCAGATGAGGAGCTTGGGATACCATCCGGCAATTAAACATGGCAAAGGGGAAAACACCACCATTTGCGGATGTTCTTTCCCATCAAAACACAATTGCCATGTTTGATTACCCAATGGCACAATGGTATTTCCAGTGTTTTGTGAAATTCTGCACATTCCCAAGGACGGAAAGAGATACAAGGCCCTGAAGTGCCTCTGCTTGACATTTCTAGGGTGTGACTGTGACTTTGTTCCTCGGGGGTCGGAGATTTGATAACTAACATATCTAACATCTAAACCCCTTAAATATAGTTCAGTTGGAACAGGTCAGGCCCCCTCAGTGATGTTGTTTTTTTTTACCCAATCAATTAGCTATAGATATATCATGATATATCAATATATTCCCCATAAACCATAGAACTCACCAACTTATAGGTCAACTTAGCGAACTGTTCGGGGGCCTTGCATAGCAAGGCCACCCTCATGGTTGATGGATGGGTCCTGGTTGACGAATTTCTTTCGCACATTGCCAGTAATTCTTCGTCTAATGGTGGAGTCATCAATGGAGACATAAGATCAAAAACATGTTTTTTTTCCTTTAAAAAAACATGTTCTAAAAAAACATGTGTTTTTTCTTTTTCAAACATGTTTAAAAAAATCAGCGTTCAGTAAATCCAAGCTGGTTTTCCTGATGGATTTGTGAACAAAAAATAGCCAGCTGCTTCGCAGTGCTGAGCTCCACACTTTCCGCGCTTGATCAGCTCGTTGACCCTGGGAGCCATGCTCAAGGTGCCCCCGAGCCACGAAATCGCCAAGGAAGTGGACGCAAAGTTCACAACTGGTGAAGTCTATGGCAATCTATCGGATTTTATGGGGGGATATCAACTATAGTTCATTGATCTTATCAAACATCTATAAATCTATAATCTATGAATCTATAGTCAATTAATTGATGTTAATTGGCTTTATAAATCAATCAGCAGACATCACTGGAAGCCCTCACCTAGTGACTGGGGCCCAAGCACCAAAGAGCTTCCCACCTATGCCGTGGCGAACTTGAGGCCAGGGGGCGAGAGCTAGGAAGGTAAAGGGAGAAGGAAGGGGAGGAAGGTCTGGTGGAAGAGCGTGTGAGGAATTTCGAGATAAGTGGAGAGTAAGTCTGATGCTGATGATGCTGATGATGCTGATTGCGACCATATAGCTGTGATTTGCGATTCCAGCCCCTGCTAATACCTTGCTAAAGCAACAGGGACTTCAGCTGGAAGAAGCGAGCTTTCGTGAAGATGTCAAGTCATGCTTCGTTAAACCTAAGATATATGCGTTCTGGTGGGAACATTCGCATGTGCATCCCAACATCAGCTGAATCTGTCTGTTTGGCAGATTTTTTCACAGGTCAAATTGAAGTTTATGCCTAGCGGATCCCAGATGCAGAATCTCAATGGATCATGTGACACTTCAACTCGGGACTGACCCCACTGAGACTCATCCTCATGATCCTCATGCCTTTTTTGAAAGATGGAAAAAGTGATGGGTCGAATCCGAGCCGTTGATCCCTTGGTTCTCCATGTCGCGAACGGCTGCTATGCTGGGATGCCTCTGCTGTATCTGCAGCCAAATACCACGCAACATCGCCGTCCTTCCCAAAGTCATTGGGCAAAATCCGATGTTTGGGTTCTCTTCATTGAGCTTCAACATAGGGAATGGCTGCCAGATAAAGCGGACAACCTGAAACATCTACAGAATCTACCACTCACCCGTGTCCTTCCAGCGATGTCGTTGCTCCAACCCCTGCCATACCCACGGATGTCACGGTGCACTCAGTGCCTACCTTGATTCCAAAAATTTTTGACAATATGATATATGATAAATTATGGATAAATGATGATAAATGATGATCTCATATAAATAGCACAAAAATGATGATCACCATCCATTCACCATTTAAGGCACCTGTGCGCACGCAAGGAACGCATCCAAGTCGCCCAGTCCATGTCGTCGGGGATCCTTTCGCCGCGGGTGGAAAACCCAATAAGGGTGGTTTGGTGGAAACCAAAATGATGCTGACGGAGCCTATATAACACATACATATGTGTATATATATATACATATGAAAAGGGATTTGCATATATATATATATATATGTATATATATGTATGTATGTATGTATTGTAATGTAATGTTATGTTATGTAACGGTATGTAATGGTATCTAATGGTATGTAATGGTATGTAATGGTATGTAATGGTATGTAATGGTATGTAATGGTATGTGATGGTATGTAATGGTATGTAATGATATGTAATGGTATGTAATGGTATGTTCGGTATGTAATGGTATGTAATGGTATGTAATGGTATGTGATGGCATGTAATGGCATGTAATGGTATGTAATGGTATGTAATGGTATGCAATGGTATGTAATGGTATGTAATGGTATGTAATGGTATGTGATGGCATGTAATGGCATGTAATGGCATGTAATGGTAGGTTATGGTATGTTATGGTATGTTATGGCATGTTATGGTATGTTATGGTATGTTATGGTATGTCATGGTATGTCATGGTATGTTATGGTATGTCATGGTATGTTATGGTATGTTATGGTATGTCATGGTATGTCATGGTATGTTATGGTATGTAATGGTATGTGATGGTATGTAATGGTATGTCATGGTATGTAATGGTATGTAATGGTATGTAATGGTATGTAATGGTATGTAATGGTATGTAATGGTATGTAATGGTATGTAATGGTATGTGATGGCATGTAATGGCATGTAATGGTATGTAATGGTATGTTATGGTATGTATGGTATGTATGGTATGTATGGTATGTATGGTATGTATGTATGTATGCATGCATGCATGTATGTATGTATGCATGTACGTAAATATATATATATATTTATACATGTATGTATGTATGTATGCATGCATGTATGTATGTATGCATGCATGCATGCATGTATGTATGTACTAGGTGTAACTATAGAACTATAGATGTGTATTCTAGATATATAGCATCATAGCTATACTATATAAACATACATCTCATGCCTCATGGCTGGTCTATCCGCACGGAACCATTCGTTTCATCCGCACGGTCTGAGGCGATGACACTCCACCTGCGAGGTGGGAGAAATTCCTGTGGATCTAAGTGGCTATCTGGTTGGTGCTTGAGCCACCCCTCTGAAAAATGATGGAGTTCGTCAGTTGGGATTATTATTCCAATATATGGAAAAATAAAATTCATTTTCCAAACCACCGTTTCCTCCCCTTCCGGAAATGATATTCTGAATCCTCAAACGATTATTCACGTATAGACGTATTGTTTGAGAGAAATTGAATGTACTTATGAATATCTATATAATCACATACTAAACATCATACATCTGAGGAGTATCGCTATACATCAACTGATTTGGACAATCATAATTAGACATTTAACATATGTAAATCAATTGATTTCACATCTATCTATCTATCTATCTATCCTAATCTATTCTATTCTAATCTTATCTTATCTTATCTTGTCTTATCTTGTCTATCTATCTATCTATCTATCTAATATGTATTACGTAATACTGCACATAGTCATGATTCATTAATTTCGTTTGTAAATGACGCTTTCCCCAGTTCCTGTGTTATCAAACATGGCTGGCTGGAAAATCCCCCAAAATGCAGTTTTTTGATGGGAAAGTCATAAGAACATATGGGAAAAAACACATATGTTTTAGTGGGAAAAACCATCGAACTAAATGGTGGATTTTCCAGCCACGTTTGATGACACCGGAGAGTTTTTACATCATGTGCTAGGTCAATTCTAGGGTTTACGGTAGATATATCGAACTAGTTGCCATGGGCGCTGCAGGGCGCCAGGGTGTTTTGTTGTTCTTTTTTTTTGCTTTTTATTTTTTATGATGGGGTGGGGTGGGGTGGGGTGGAATGTTAACGTTCATGTTGCGCTCATGATGTTACGTTGATCATGGGGTGGGGTGGGGTGGGGTGGGATGTTAACGTTCATGTTACGCTCATGATGTTACGCCCAGAAAAAAGTTGCAGGTTTTGAGACAATAGGCCCACCGGAAGATGTTCCAATATGTGCAGTTCTTTCGTCTATTTCAACACCGGCATTCTAGGTTTGCTTGCCCAAAAGCCGTCCACCGCAAGAATCATGGGATGAGATCCAAAATTCAAAGCTTCTTTCAGCTTTAAATTCCTGCTTACGTCGCCTACCAGTCAATGCCTCCTCGTTACATGATGGAAACAAAAAGAAAATGCACCAAACGAAAAACTCCAAAAACGAATCACTGCAGTGAAACATCTGCTGAGCGGTCACACAACTTTTTTGTCCGACAACAGTGGGAGTTGTCCAAAGTGCAAGGGCCGCATTGGCCTTATTCGAAAAATATCCACGGCCATCATCATCCATAATTGGGGGATCACTGTATGTGACCCTCTGCATTCAAAAATGCCTGGAACCCCAGGCTGTCTCCATGGTCTCACTGCTGCACTGTGCCAAGGTTGCAGCAGCCACGCAATCATGTCAGACTTTTACCCTCAAGGGTCACTAGGTGGCAATTGACGATGTGGGATCGTCGGAGCTGCTGTGGGCTCTGAGTCAAGGCCTCCCGTTGAATCGGGAACGTCGCTGGCTGGTTGGGGTGCAGACGCAGGGTCCAAATGCAGGAAGTGCTCGGCAGCTTGCATAAGTAACAGAGCGTCATCCAGCATCGAAAGGGTTTCGTTGTGAAGGTGCAAGTCGTAGTGCCCTTGAAACCATGTCCTGAAAAGTTCAAGATTTTGTCGGGCCGTATGCAGCAAAGGTTGATGGACACGAAATTCAGGCTCACACACTGCAGACAAAGGTCGCCACCCAGGCGGCAAGCTGAGATGGGACGGCGTCTGCACCGGGTCATGCGGAAAAAGAGTGCGTTCAAGCGCGGCGAGAGCCGAAGTGGTGGTCACCCACACATCAAACACACTCTTGAGATATGGAGGCTCGAGATGTTGGAGCAGCATGAAACAAGCTGCTGCAATCTCCTCGAACTGCTTCACACGCGTATCGGCTTCGAGGCCTTGGAAAACATGACTCCAATTGAAGTTGCCACTGCAAAGTCAACAATGTTGGGAGCTTGCATGCGTCACTATGGAATCCCTGGGTGGGAGTTGGCACAACGGGTGGGAATCGAAAAAAAATCCCTTGATGCAAAAAGGCAACTTGAGAAATAAATTCATATGGTTTCTTTTTGCCATCAGTGGAATGTGGAGCATGTTTGCTGGCAAGACATCAAACCACAAGAAACAAACAGGACATGGCTGTGTTTGTTTAAACAGAAAACAAAAACAGGGTTTGATTTGACGCTACACGGTTTTGATACGAGGTGCGATATCCAAGAGCCGGGCATGACTTCGTTTTTGGAAGTGTGTTGCGCGGGTGCGCTTTAATGCACGGTTTGGATACAGGATGTTATCCAAGAGCCGGGCTGAACTTAATTTGTTTGTGCAAGTTGCGCTGCACGTACATGCCAGGTTTGGGCGAGGCTTACACAAGCATTGTTTGGTTTTGGCAAGACTAGGTAGGCTAAAAGTTTGCTAGCAAACGTTTCTCCAGCTGTACTTTAATGCACTATCAACGCGTTGACAGTAAGCGTCAACTTCAAAAGGCCTACTGCTATCTATGCTGATGGTGCTCGTGCATGGCCCAAATCTGCGAAGGTTTTGAAAGTTCTGTGTTTTCAAGTGAATCATCAGCGTAAAGAATATGCTTCCACAATTCGTAAGGTGCCCAAAGGATTGTCGAACATCAGTGGAACACAGACCACTGATTCAGATTGGAAATCGTTGAAGTGTTGGCTTCCCAAGGAAGCTTCCAAAAAAAAAGGCACTGGTGACTTGGTGACCCACTCCTCAAAATTGGAGCAAAGGGTCTGGCAATGGATGTGGCACAGAACAAAGCTGCGCAGCAATAATTCAGAGAAATTTGCAGCCATGAGCAAATTGTTCAATGGTTGAAGTAGTTTTGGGACGTCAAAAAACAGGCGTGCAAGGCTGCATACGCAATTCCAATGGGAAATTCACGCTCACCCCCTTAAAACCACCAGGCACCTATCAGCGCCGTTCCCAACTAGCTAGACAGGTTTATAAGCAGCTAAACACACAATCCCATAGCATTACCATGAAATATTCTACTAATATCTCAGTTATACCGAATTAAAATTCCATGAAATCCGATTAAAATCTCATGAAAAATGATATACGGTTACGATCTCATTAAAATCCCATAAGGATTCACTAACATTGAGGAAGATCCCATTACATTCCACTAAAATCTCACTAAAATTCCATTTAAATCCATAACATCCCACTAAAGGAAGCCCATTAAAGTCACATCAACATCCATACAATTCCATTAGCATAACCTGTTTATTGATGATGGTATATCATCCAATATTACCATCATCAACAGTCAAATAGCAATCATTGACAATGATTAACCATCATCAATTCATCAATAACCATCATCAATGCTCGTTAACCATCAAAAATAAACCATGATTATCCATTATTAACCATTATTAACCATGAGCAACAACATCATTCATCATGAATCACCATCATGAATCACCATCATCATCACCATCATCATCATCATCACCATGAATCTGAATCATCATCATCATCATCATCACCACCATCATCACCATCACCATCATCATCATCATCACCATCATCATCATCATCATTATTATTATTACTAACACGTATTAACACGTATTAAAACGTATTAACACGACTTTTAACACTTAATAACACTTATTAACCATTATTAACCATTGGTAGCTATCTATGTAAACCACCATCAAATTCTTCTATCGGAGAATCATCCAAGTTCTTCCCCACCTCTGAGGCGACTGGTCGCCCGCCCGGAAGTGCACTGCAATGAGTTTCCGACGCCCCAGCAAGGCAGCCTCGCAGTGATGCTCAAGAATTGTTAATCTGGTTGGTGGTTGAGCCACCCCTCTGAAAAACTTTAGTTAAAAAATGAGAAAATGATGATTAATCAATTGATATCAGTTGAGAAAATCTGGTTGGTGGTTTCAATCCCTCTGAAAAATATGAAAGTCAGTTGGGATCATTATTCCCAATATGTGGGAAAAAAACATGTTCCAAACCACCCAGTAATGATGATTGATGATGATTAATCATGATTAGTGATATGATTCTCAGGTCATAGAATAATTTGATGGTGGTTTAAATAGATAGTCACTAATGGTGAATAATGGTTGTTTTATGGTTGTTAATGATGACGAATGATGCTTGATAATGGCCAACCAAGGTTAATAGTGATTGATGATGCTTTATGATGATTAATGATGGCTAATGGGGATCAATGATGTCTGATAATGGTTAACCGTGGTTAATACTTTAATAGTGGTGAATGATGACTAACGAGCAAAGCAACAAAGTTATGGGCTGTTACAACTGACCATTCAATGGTCATTGGTGGTTAAGATACGAAGTGGAGATGATGAAACCAGGGGATTTTCCCATGGATTCTAGCATCACATTCCTACGGGCCTTGGTCATTCCTAGTTGGGATGTAATGGAACATCATCCGAGTACGGGTCAAAATTGGGTACCCCAATAAATACATGGTAAATACATGGTAAAACTAATATATTCAAATCTCTGGTCCCATGCTAAATTTTTGAGTCATAGCCATCCAGCCATCCATAAATTTTATCATGGGGAGTTTCGGAAGAACTTCCATCGATGTTTGCGTCTTTCCGTTAACATGGGCGATTTCCCACCAAATACTTTGCAAAAATATGGATGTTTCCAAAGTGGGGGTAATTAGCCCTAAATCATGCAAATGGATGTATCCAAACATATGCAACAATTAGACTGTGTTAGAAATTAAAAACCATGGTGACTTGGAGATCACCCACTTGAAGAAACTTCAGCATCAAGGATTCAGGGTATAGCCACTCACTATTTCTCAAAAAAAAGAGCCGACGGAACCAGATCTTTCTTTCGCCACGGCGAATCCGTTCTGTTCATCGAACAACGGCAAAATCGGGAAACACCGTGCCACTCTGTGCCCTTTTTGTGGCGTCATTTTGTGCCAGAAAAAGATCATCGAAAGACCTGTTGCCATGCAATACCTCGCATGGTTTTCTGAAAGCGAGACACAATTCCAACTCACTACCCTCTGGTAAACTAACATAGCTATTGAAAATGGCCATTTGTAGTGGATTTACCCATAAAACATGGTGATGTTCCATAGTTTTTTGTATGTTTACCAGAGGGTAACCACAACATCGACAGCCCAGCCTCTAAGACCTGGCCATAGGCTGGTGGAGAATTGCTCAAACATATACGAGTTGAAGTAAGATAGGGTTTTAAGCACAAACCAGGGATTCATGGACACCGGGAAACATGATAAAGAGTTGAACTAATGACTCAAAGTCAAACATTGGATTTTTTGGCAACCCCCAGCATCAACTAGACCATCCCAAAACATGTTCCTATCTTCTTGAGGGCTGGCTATAAAATGGATTAAGACACGTTTTACGATTTTCAGAACAACATGTATAAAGCTGATCACAAACAGATCAAACACCACCACAACAACAACAACAACGACAACAACAACAACCACCACCACCACCACCACCACTGTGATTTCGCCATCACCCTGCATCGTGTCATGAATGTTCAAGCGCCTCTTGGTGTCGCTGTGCAAGCAACTCGGAGGGTTCGAAGAGTAATTCGAGCATCGCAGCGTGGAGGTATGGCCTATGGTGGTCATCTGGGAGCAGCATTCGGGCAACCCATCATGACAACGAAACGCTGGAGAAAACGCTGGAAAAAACAATAAAAACCCTATAGTCACTATATAATGCTGGATGTTGCTCGGGCTCACAAGTACAAACGCTCCAAATCAAAAGGGTTTATATGGCACTAAGATGTACTAAGCATGACCTGCCACATGCCATTGCCAGTTGATTAGTAGTTGATTAGTAGCCCATTGGTGTTCCGTGGTGTTCCTGTCGCCCCTTTCCGACCACTGCCTCTCGCCTCCCTAGGAGCTGCTTGGCCCTGGGACCCATCAGAGCTTGCGCCTAGAAACTTCCGGAAAATCCGGGGGAAGTCATTGGGGGTCGTCCCGTCATCCCGTCATCCGTGTTTTTTTTTCCGTGCTTGAATATCAAGAAAAATGATGTTCACCAAGCAATTGAACATGTGAAAAGGATTGAAAAGGCGCATATGAAGGTTTCCACAAATGGGGATACCCCTACTGGATGGTTTATTTCAGGGCAAATCCGATCTAGACATGGATGATAGCTGGGGGTACCCCCATGACTTAAGAAACTTCCATATGGAGAACTTTTATTAACTGTGTTTGTATTGTTAGTGAATATGATTATGTTGTTTATAAATTGTGGTGTTTATTGATCATAAACCACATTGCGCTGGATATAATTTGTCTATGATAGTCATCACAAACTGATCTTATCATCCCATAATACATATATATATACCCAATTCATCACATATCCATTATATTATGCGTTTTCCCATTAAACAAATAAACATGCATATATCCCCATATATATATCACATCACCAGCGCCCATCGTCACACGCCACGGGTGCCTCTGGACTTTGCAGCACTGCTGCGGTGACCCTCTGATTGCTGTGCCTTCGTGGCGGCTGCCGTGGGGAAAGGGTCACTTGGGATCATGATCCCACTCTGAATGGCTGAATTGATGTCCAATGGCTGATACCTACCCTCTAGGGGATTTTACGTTGTGGTCAATGGGACTTTATAGGGATTTAATGGGATTTTTTTGGTGAATCAATGGGATATTAATGGGATATACCCTCTGGTAAACATACAAATAGCTATTGAAAATGGCCATTGAAATAGTGGATTTACCCATCAAACATGGATAAACATGCTGGATCTTTCCATAGCTATGTTAAATTACCAGATGGTATCATGTAAAAAAACATCGGAATCCACCGACTGGATCATTGGATTATTGGATCATATCCACCATGATAGCTATCACAAAAAATCCCATCATTGGCTCCACAATTGCAACATGTCAGCACATGTTTTGTTGCTTATTCATGCTTATTCAACCATTTTCCAGAAGTTCTAATACTTATTCACACTTTCTTTGTTAAAATATGGACTAAAATGATATGGAGGTTTCCTAAAATATGGGTATCCCGGTATCCCAAGTCACCAGGTCCACTGGATGAGAACTGGTACCCCCACTGCCCCTGGGGATCCCGAGCATCACCACAACCTGCTCCTCTTCTTGCCCTAAAATCCATGGCAATTCAGCCACCAAATCCTGGCTGCGATAAGAAATCCATGGGAATACAATGGGAATACAATGGGAATACCATGATGTTTTCAGATACTGGATCATAGAAGATCATTTTATTTTTAAAGTCCATTTTATTTTCTAAGTTCAATTTTCAAAGTCGCCGTTTTTCGCTCAACTGTTCATGAAAAGGTGACTATAACATGTCATCACCATTGAAGTGGGTGACACTGCCCAAACAGGCCGAGATCGGGCATTGTAGCGGTCGTTGTAGTTGGTCCTCAAATCTCGCGTCAAATCCCCACAGTACCTACCACCAACCGCAACGCAAATGTGGTCTGAAAATTGGCTCCCCCATTCCATCACCATTTTTGCTGGTAAATACATGTAAATACCTCTAATTTCCCCATGTTCAGATAAGCCCAAATCATCTCAGAGACAAAACAGAAATAATGTGGGTAAAACAATAAACAATAACAATACACCATCCCCCAAATTACCATAAATAGGTGGTATAAACTTACCATTCCCAGCCATGGGTGGTAAAAATGACATTGTTTTACCCACAGTACAAGGAAACTATCCTCCACTACCTAGAGCAATTCCTTGCCAGAAACTGAAAGCTCCTGCAGCCAGCCAAGGCGACTGCACCGTGTGTCCGCCAATCGAGAAGAAACCTCAGTGAAGGCAACGATCCCCATTCGCCCATGTCTGGAGTGGGATATGAGGCCCCGAAAGTATGGTGATTTTTTTGTGGATTTGTGAGTGGAACTGAACATACCCTCTGGTTATGACTAACATAGCGAACTGGAAAGATCCAGCATCTTTATCCATTTTTCATGGGTAAATCCACTATTTCAATGGCCATGTTCAATCGTTATTTGTATGTTTACCAGGCCGGGTATCCAAGTATGCACAGAAGAAGAACCTGATTGGGGTCCCTCTATTTTTCAACCCAAGTTTTGGGATCAGGATGGACTTGGAGTATATCCCTGGACATGATGGGAGTCTTATCCACCAGAATTACCAACCTAAAGTTGGAATGCAAGTGACAAGAATCAGAGATATGATTCATATGAGAACAATAAAATTTAATAAAATATACAATGAATAGCAATACACCTCTGGTAATTGAACATGGTTTGCTGGAAAATCCTCCATAATTACCGTAGTTTGATGATGTTCCCAGCTAGGCACCTCCATTTGCAGAGGATTTTCCAGCCTCAATTTTGCATGACGTCAAATCATCCCCAAATGGTTGGTTGAAGGTATGGTTTACCTAGGGTTTAGAGTTTAGGGTTTACCACATCAATAATTTCCATGTATCTCCATTGTTCTCCATGAGTCACCATTCATCGCCATTACTATTCTCAACCATTCATCACCAGTACCCCTCTGGTAATTTAACAGTTCGCGAACTTGAACATGGCCATAGAAATCGTGAGTTTTCCCAGTAAAAATGCTGGATTTTCCATCGTTTTTTGTTGTTTACCAGAGGGTATATCCCATTCATATCCCATTGAATCACTATAAATCCCATTAAATCAATATAAATCACTATGAAATTCCATGAAATCAATATAAATCACTATGAATTTCCATGAAATCAATATAAATCACTATGAATTTCCATTAAACCAATATAAATCACTATGAATTTCCATTAAACCAACAATTATGTTGTTAGTTTACCAGGGGGTCACCATTCCCTACCACAACTCGCCCTACCACAACTCCGGCCCAGAAGCTCGGCGTTCTCCAGCATCGCACCACAGGCATCCGGACGCCCTGTTTTTTCACGGTGAGTAAACATCTATTTTTTAAAAAAAAGACAGAACGTAAATAAGCAATGTATAATTAAAACATTTTTTAAAAACTGTTCAGATATCTTTCATGAGTTTAACAAGATCAAAATTCAGAAACACACACGTGATCTGTTGATATCTGTTCCAGTTTTTTCATGGTTTTTTCTGGAAAAGATCACAGCACTGACCGATTCATCGCCGCCCAAACCGACAGCGCGCTTCGGGGATGCAGCAGCAAATGCATAGGCACAGGACCTAAGTGCAAGATGTGAAACATCCCCTCCCAGGTGTCATTCCTTCTTCCTTATTGTTGCAGCCCGAATTTGTTTCAACTAATTCAACCATGCGTATTTTTCTTCATCGGTTTCTTCGTTGTTTGTTTTTGAAGTTCTTGGAAACAACTTTTGCTTGGATCTGATTGCCGGTTTTAACCTCTCTGAAACATATGGAGGTTTCCAATGCATGGCATGGGGGTACCCCATTTTATCATCTATTTCTATACAGGATGTTCCATTGAAAACCATCAATTTTTGGAGTACCCTCTGATTATTTAACATAGCCATGGAAAATCCACCCATTTTTAAGAACGGTAAACCATCTATTTCTATGGGCCATCTATACCATGGCTATGTTAGTCATAACCAGAGGGTATCCCATTTATGGAAACCCCCAAAAAAAACTCGTCAATGCCATGAACCATAGCCCCAGTGGCGTGCCGCATCGATGAAGAAGGCCCTGCGAGAGGCCACCTGTCAAGCCAGGCTTCAACGATATGCTTAATGAATATCATAGTAGGAATATATGAAACATTAAAATTAGGGCTATTGATCATTATTCTGAACAGTTAGTCATTGATAAATGATTAGATGATTATTAACAGGTTAGTCATTAATCATAAATATATCATTATCATCATTCATATTTAATCATGTGAAATAATTAATAAATGACTCATATCACAAGTGATCATCATGAATGTTCATCATTGATATAGTTTTGGTGATCAATCAATTAGCATCCAATTCTGGTAATATTAACAATAGTGATAATTGGATGGTCAATCATGGTTAGTTCATCTCAACCATATGATTAACAACATTAGTCACCCCTTTTGGTTTTGACGTAAAAATAGTTAATACATAATTACTATTGATAAGTAAGTAATGATAATACATAAATAATTACCGCAATAATTAATAAACCATGGTTTGACATTGTCACTATGGTTTATGAGTTATCGAGGTACCCTCCCTTAATGGTGAGAATATGATACCAGTACTTGGTACCCCCCCCCACAAAAAAAATCGCAACCGTTTGGAGTTTGTTAATCCAGGTTTGACAAACCATAGCAATAGGCCTTAGCAATAGATGTAGATGGGATGATGACACATAAATTTAAGGGATGGTTTTTTCAACATCTTAAATTCACCACCAACCAGATATGGCTTGAAAGAAATGGCAGGTGGTGATTTACCCTTCGCCAAGTAAGGGACAAAAACTGTTGCCATTCAGAATGGGATTCTTCAGGATGGTGGCCATCATGGGTCACTATCCGATCCTGGATCCTGGTGATGTGATGAAGGCAGCCCCGAAACAAAGCACCGGTGGAGCCCGGTGGAGCCCGGTGGAGCCCAGGGGCCCAGCTTTGGCTGATTTTTTTGCTGAAAGCACGAGTAAATTGGACCAGGTCAGACAAATAATAAAAACGGTGCTTGAAATTTGTGGTGAGTGGTTTTTTGTTGTTCTTTTTGAGACTGAAAACAATTGTTTCCCCGGTGAAGAAACAAACAACACTACCTTCGACAGCCAGTTCTGAGCGTCAAATTCTGAGGATATCTTTACAGTGATCCCTGCCCTGACCAATTCTTACAAAACAATGCTGCCATACTTTGCAACACATATTTGGACAGGTTTTCTGACATCTGTTCTCATAATTCTTCTGAAAAGTTCTGACAAAAAATGACTATACATGTAATTACTGTATATATATATATATAGAAAATTTATCGGACATCTGTTTTGCAATTTCGCTGATATATCCTGGCATATCTCCTGACCTGTGTCCTGACATTTCGTTCGACAATGTGTTTCTGCGATTTCACATATCAGGCAGTTTCTCTGACATCCTACACCGGAAAAACCATCCCACCAGCCAGTAAATCAACCATTCCACCAACCAGCGCACCAACCATCCCATATATATATATATATTATATATATATATTATATATATTATATATATATATATTATATAATATATATATATATATATATCGGGATTTAAGTGTTTAATCATTAGGTTCAACTATAAGCTTACTTATTTGCAAATCAATTGACAATTAGTCCCCGAAGTACAAATAAGCTTACTATAGTTTACCACCTAGCTACCCATAGTTATCCATAGTTACCCATACTTACCCATAGTTACCCATAGTTGGGTTTGCTAACTCACTTCTGTTAATCCCTTCCCCCCAAATATGAAATAGCCCCCAACCAGAACCCTGGCTTATTGGATTTAAATGTGCACTTATTTTTCGCAGTTTTGCCGACCATGTTGCACCAACAGATGAAGTGCCAAAAAAGAAATTGAGAAATTGCAAAGTGACACAAAAAATGGGCTTTTCTACGCCAGTCAGTAGCCTGATACAATAGGCAACTTCTGCGGCTTTCCAGGGGGATGGGATTATGACAATTTGAACTCGCTAAATCCCATGCCATTAGTTAAATCACCATTAAGTCACCATATGTGCTAAGTCAACGCATGGTATATATATATATATATATGTTATGGTCATCCATCCTATTTCATGGGAATTTCATGGGAATCCAACGATAATCGTCGCCTTAATCTATGTTAATCTTAAAATCCCGAAGTGATGGAATATCATGGATTGATATTCTTCTTCCCATCATTTCCCATCATTTCCCATCATTTCTGCCACCACCGACCCCAGGACGTTTCCCACGAAACTTCGCTGAGCTGCCGCCATGAGGAAGACGCTCAGAAGCCCATTGAGACGGTCACCATGTCCACCGCAGAAACCCATCGCGGAGCAACGATAGATCAGCATTCTCGGCAAAGGGCCTGGAGGCGCCCCTAGTCATGGGATATTCATGGGATATGGGGATGGAGCTTTCCTAACAGGGGTACCCCAATAGCTGGGTGGTTTATATATACATATAATGGAAAATCCGATTTAAATGCTGATTGATTTTGGGGTAGGCCCTATTTCATGAAACCACAATTTCTATCTGATGTGCCATAGGTTTCTGTTGGCTTATAACATTTGATAACTGTTGGAATCATCGTCGATAATGCCAAGCTCGGATGAGTCCAAACCCTGACTATTGCTTGAGGGTGGCAACACCCCAAAAATAGTGATAATATTATGTACTATTTTAACTTCTATATATTTTCTATACACCCTGTTGATAAAGTGAGATTTTACTAATCCATGGTTAACGTTCGAGCTGATGACCCCATGACCCATCCCCTATCATCCCCAAACATGCACTGCACGACCAGTTGACCAGTGTTCAAAACCCCACGTCATTCCATTTTACTTGTACTGGTTGGTTCATATGGATTCCCATAACTGATTACCTGATTACTAGAATCCAACTAGTATAACTCCCGAACTAATCACCAACCAACAGCGGCCCGACAGTTTTTTCAAGCCCTGCTGACCCTGTCCTTTATAGCCACTTTTCGTCGCTTGCTCTAACAGCTTGGCCCGAGCAGATCGATGGAAGTCCAAGTAATCCTGGCTCTCGGCAGAGCTCCAGAATTCATGGGGAATACCCGGCCTGGTAAACGTTTACAGTTTGCGAACTGGAAAATCACCATTTTTTATAGGTAAATCAACTATAAATGGGCCATTGTCTATAGCTATGTTAGTTTACCATGAGGGTATCATGGGGAGTCTTATCCATGCGTTGAGTGTGCTTTGTTTGGAATTGGTGGTTGCCCTTCCAAAATGTTCCCGCAAATCACCAATGTCCAATCAGTAGCCCATTGCTTCCAATGTGTCTCCTATTCCCTCCAGGGGTTCCACATGTTTCGATAGCCATCTCACTGCATCTGCTGATCGTCCCTGATGGGGATCATCAAAATCACATTCAAAAAATAGACATGTGTTTTTTAATATGTTTTGTTAATATCCGTTTCTGAATAGCAAACAAAAATTTGGGATTGTCTGGAAAAAATCTTTTGTGTATCCCCAAATTTTAGAAAATATTACGGCCAGGTCTTGGAGCTTTCCGTTGACGCCCCAGGTGAAAAGTCACCAGTGCCTTGAGGATCGAAACCAGTTCAGGACATGGCCTTAGGATCCACCATGGCTGATATTGAGACAGGTATTTTCTGAAATCATTATTAATGTCAAAAAATATGATTATCTTTAGATTATTAGTTGTTGTCACTTGCTATTATCAAACACACATATTATATATATATATATATGTATGTACTATGATAGTACGCCAACAAAAAGATTGCAAATTGTCATTTTTCATTATCTTACTCGGATTTTCCTTTTCGATCATTTTGGGGGGTGCTATATATATGATATACAATACACAAATAGTACAGGTTACAAGTTTTTTACCCTAATGTTTGCTGACAACATCTACTTGTGTTCACACCAAAATTATGAATTTGAACTGGAATTTATGCATATTGGACCTTCATCCCACCAAAAGTTGTATTGTTGTTGATTTTGACATAAAAACAAATACAAAACATGTGAAAAATCAGAGATCGTCCTATTTTTGAGGGACCTCACCAGCATAACTTCCAGTACCTCGGCCACCGCCTGGGCTTCCCTCGGCTTCCCGTAGGCTTCCCGGCCCTTCTCCAGGCCTTGCCGCTCGGAAGGCTACACCAGGACGGGCCGCCAGTGTATGAACCTGGCGCTGGGTCCTTGGTTTTTTGGGGTCGTACTGTCAATTGATCTCATGTCTTGGGGGAGGTTCCATGGATTCAATGAGAAACTATGGATAAACTATGGATAAAAAATGGAAACTTATCCATAGTTTATCCATTTTTTAATGCATAGTTTATCCATAGTTCATCCATATCAAGTGATCCCGTTGATACCCCCCCTTTTTCCAGCTGAAAACGGCCCACCAGTTCAGGCCATTGGGAGGCTCCAGCAGGGTGCAGGTTGGGTGGCCAAACCTGGGATCATGGAAGATCCAGGGGGTGAAGTTGGGGTGGAAAAATGGATATAACGATTGTAATATATGGTAATAACCACCATAAGTTGGGATAGTTTACCCCGGGTAAACCCCTACCATATGGCCACCGGGTGAAATGTCGAACCACTTCTGACCGGTCGAGTCTTGAGAATCGGAAGAAACTCACATGGGTCATTGGGGGGTTCCATATAAATGGGGGTACCCCAAGATGGATGGTTTAATTGGGGGAAATTCCTACAGTACTATTTTATAGATGATTTATGGGTATCCCCATTTATGGAAACCCTCAATTGCTGACTGAACTGGATGAAACATTGGAAGACACATTGTGGAATAGATCGCAGCATGCCAGATCACGCAGGAAACTTGAGAGCATGGAAACTTCCAAGTCGATCCCAACTGGGAAAGGCACGATTTTGGCAGATGTGCTACCAAGTAGTTGTGCCATCAGGGTAGCCTCAAAAACGAGAAACCAGCAGAACCAGCAGAGGCTTGAGATCTGCAGCCTTTGGGGATCATCTCCCTGGTGAACTCAAAAACATAATTTTTTTTTGGTGCCGTGCAACACCACCATCTGAAACCATCATTCAATAGCAATTAAATCATAAATCCTCATTATTCCTCATTTGTATTGGAAACCATTGGTGAAACGGTGTGACATTCCAGTCCACCAGTGTTTTTTCGGTTTTCGAAAGCATCTTTTTGGGGGATGATCATCATCCATGTTTCATGGGAATCCCGTTACCGACCAGGATGATTTATGGGATGGGCGGGTTCTGCAGCTACTGCCCACAGGGATAGAACTTAGAACCAAAGAAAAATCCATGGGGATTGAATTCACCATGTGTTCGAGAATCGGTTCACTGGATTTATTTGTGGATGATTTCAAATGGTGGATATAAAAGGCACATGAGCCATGAAAGTTATACCTCTGTTGATGCATTAATTTGTCAAGGATTAGGCTAACTTGTCTGTTAGGCTTTTCCAAAAACGCCCAATTTATGAACTAACCCATTCCACAGGAAGATTTTGTAGCCAAGCAATATTAAGGGTCCCTGGTCCCTAGGCTTGTTTTTCATGGCTCACATAGAGAAATGAGGATTTGACCAACAATCATTTGCAATGTATATATCTGGTTGGTGGTTGACCTACCCCTCTGAAAAATGATGGAGTAAAAGTCATTTGGGATGATCATTCCCAATATATGGAAAACAAAAAAAATGTTCCAAACCACCAACCAGATATATATATATATGTATATATATATAGGATGGGGCCGGGGGTTATCCAGCAATATTTGGAAGTGCAGTTCCAGTTATATGTGGATATATGAATCATATATTTCACAGTCATAGGCCTAAACTATCCCAACTTTTCGGGGTTCAAATTCCACTGGTTATACCCAAAAAAACAACTTCAACTGCACCCCCAAAAGAGCAGTCTTCAAAACTCATGATGGCTGGTGAATATATTGGTTTATACTAGCCAATACACGAGGTTTAACATACTCCATGATGGGAATCCCTATTAACGCCATTCACAAAGCAGAAGACAGGGGCAACAGAGGGTTTTGAACACTGCTCAACTGTGTGCAGTGATGTTTGTATCCCATATTTCCCTATGAATATCAACAGTGTTTTCCAATAGTTCATATATCCCACATGTTGCCAAGATGTTTCATATATCCAACATGTTGCCAAGATTTTGTTTATATCCAATATGTTTCCATTAATATTAACATACATTCACCATAGTTGTACAATGTTTATACCAAATATTATATATACTTAATTAATTCGGTTCCTATCCCGTATAAAACCAATGAACCCATAGTTATACCCACAATAACCATAGCTATACCCATATTATCCCATATCAACCCTAGTCAATATTGACATACATTAACATACATTAACATACATTAACATACATTAACATATATCAACATATATCAACATATGTGTATATATATATAAATATGTATATATATATAACAATATTATCCCAGGGTTATACCATAGCTAATCCGATATTTACCCATATCAACCATAGTTAAAACCAACACCAACATACAATGACCATAGAATAAGAGCAAACTCAAATTATACAACAACAATTATTATTAACATATACCATGCACTAACCATTAATTTAATGTTAGCTATTCCCACCATCACAGCGCGCAAGGTTCATTAGGCCAAAATCCCATATTAACAATTAACCCATAGCTATACCCATATTAAGCCATGTTATCCTATATGTTCCCATAGCTATGCCATAGTTATACGTATAATCCGCCGGCCTGCCGGCCTGTTTTGTGGATGTTCTAGTGATACGTCTTGTGATAGTTTTAGCTTGACCTACATATAATTGCTTCAACGGATTTTTGTTTTCGCTGCCCTATAACCCCCCCTACCCCCTCCCCCCTGTATACATCACTATAGTCTAGTATAGTTTCGATTAGTTTCGAGTCGTCTCGACTCTTTTCTCCAGCTACCTAGCACTGACCTTAGTTGCATCCTCATCCTCTCCGTGCTCATCGTCATCACCACCACCGCCACCACCACTACCACCACCACCACCAGCATCATCATCATCATCATCATCATCATCAGGAGGTTCATCTTCTTCTTCCGGCTCGCCCCTGGACGCGGCATTTTTCCACTTTTTCTCCATGTTTTACATGTTTTACGGCCTTCTCGCCCTGAGAGGCGGCATTCTTCCACGTTTTCTCCAAGGTTTCCTGCCCGTTCCATGCAAAAGGACGTTCTAACCTGCCGCTTTTGTGCCCAACACTTTCCATTAGCACCTACCCAACACTTTCCACAAACCACCTTTTACACCAACCAGCTCTTACACAAACGAGTTTAAACAAATCTTCTACGCAAACCAACTTTTCGACCAACCAGCTTTTACAAAAACCACGTTTTGTACCAACCAACTTTCACAAACCAGCTTTTACACAAATCAGCTTTTACAAAAGCCACCTTATAAAACAAACCACCTTTTTTACACAAACCATCTTTTACTCAAACCACCTTTTACACCAACCAGCTTTACACAATCCCTGGTTTCGGCCTGTAAGCCAAAGGCCAGAGGGCCGGCAGAATGCCGAAGGCTGTGCAATAACCATAGCTATACCCATATTATCCCAGATCAACCATAATCAATATTGACATTAGCATACTTTAACCATAGTTATGCCATAGATTAACATTGACATACAGTAACATACCTTAACATTTATCATCCCATAGTTATATCATACTAAATCAAAAAATATTAACCCATATCAATCACAGTTTCCAGTTATACCCACCATTAACATTCAATAACCATAGAATAAGTAGTAAACGTAAGTTACACCAAAAAATAAAATATACTAACATATATACTAACCATACTTATTATAGATCATCCCATACTAACCATACTTATAGCATCTTATAGCCACTTTTCACTTGGTGACATCACGTCACACACACGTCGACTTCGTCGGAGCCACCGCCGCATGAAGTTCCGAGGCGTCGCCCGAGGGCTTCACTTGGAAGGCGGCCACAACCTGGACATGGCCGAAACGTGGGGAAAATGCTGGGATTTTATGATTTTATAGTGGTTTAATGGGATTTATAGTGATTCAATGGGATATTCATGGGATATACCCTCTGGTAAACACACAAAAAGCGAACTGGAAAATGGCCCAGTCGAAATAGTGGATTTACCCAGCTACAAAATGGTGATTTTCCATAGTTTGTTGTTTGTTTACCGGAGGGTAACTATGGGATACATATCGGAAACATATGGGACAAAATATCGTATGAATGGAAAAAAACAAGAAATAAATGGGAAACATATAGTATTTATAGTATTCAAATGGGATAACTATGGGATAGATATCTAGTGGATAGATGTCATCTAACATGGGATAAAACATGAAATTACATGACATTAATCTAGGGGAACGTCCCAAATGAATTCAACATAGAATGAATATCCATGTGATGGGATAAATATAGGATAACTTAACCGTATATTATATGGGATAAACATTTGATAAATGCTGTGAATGGCTGTTTGAATGGTATAAACATGGGAAACTACTCTCTATAAAGTGGGTAATATCCATACGATTGATATGCGTGTGTGTCTATGAAATTGGAGGATACCCAAAAATCACCATTAATTGAGGGAAATTATATGAAAAACCCATATAAACCAATATAAATAAACCATTGGATTTGGGAGTAGCCTATTTTACAAACTCATTTGTAGGGAATCCTCCTCTCAAAAATTGTGAATTTTCAATTTCCAGCCAAGTCTACCGGGACAAGGACTCTCAGCTTCGCACCCGGGAAGCATCTATCTGTGACCTCAGTTTGTACCGCCCCATGAACCTTTTGAAGCAGCGTTGAAAAGAGGCATCCGTGCTGCTGGTATTCCATTGCATCTTTGGAACGGTCGATCCAGTGACGTCACCGCGTGAGGTCACAACATAATTCATCCAGGCATATATATATATATAAGCGAACGTGCTATCATAATCATAGGCTGTTTAGATACCACTATTCTTTTGAAACATATGATAATGACTGTGGTTATGATAATAACAGAAATATGATAGCAATAATGATAGTTGATATATATATATATATATATTGGGCCATTGGAGATACCCTATCCCAGCTCAAAAAAATGGGCCGTTAGTTGATAGCGTTACCATGGGTTATATTATATCCCCAACAAGCCAGGTAGTATGCCTCCCATTTCAAAACCAATCAACAAGGGTACGCATATTTAATATGTACATGAATGTTGGTGAAGCAATAAGCAATAGTAGAGTATCCTTAAATTTACCATGTTCATGGGTGCTATCAACTTATATTGTAACCATTAGCGTAGGGTTGTTTTTTGGCTAACATTTATGGTTCAATTCACATTAATGAAATGGAGTTGACAATGATTTAGTAACCATTAATTCCCAGGTAGTATAACTCCCATTCCAGAACCAATCAACAAAGGGTATATTTCCATTACCAGCTCAATTCACATCAATGGAGCAGTGTTTCAAAATCCCTCTGTCATTCCATAATACTGGCTGGTTCATAGGCATTCACCTATTGGATAATTAATATATTGGGATATACTGGGGATATATTAATCCCCTACTGTATGATATATAAATATCCCAACTGGTTCGTGGTTTTAACAATCTTGAAAATATGAAAGTCAATGGGAAGGATGACACTTTTCACTTTCAGCGTGCTGCACGTCATTGTGCTTAGTTTTGTACCATGCTATCATCCAGTTGTGGTGTCTGTACATCACCCATGGTAGTCTGGCTGTACGACTTCCATGGGTACAAAATTTGTCACCACGAACTGGGAAAACTCTGCAGGCAGGTTGCGGCTGGTGTCACAGCCGGCAAACGTGCCACATGCAAACGTTCGAATTGCACGAGATTGCACGAGCAATGACGTCATTGAGGCCGGCTGGGTAGATCTTTGCACGTGCTGTGCGGAACTCCCCGTTTTCATCGCGGCCTGCATTCGCTCATGCGCCTTTGCTCCATGGTTGCATCTTCCCCCGTGCCCACCTGCCAGCAACAGTCGGCGCAGCTCCGGAAGCCGCACATGTAGTATGGTTGTGGGCTTAATAGCGTCACATCCGAGCGTGCACTGGTCAAAGGAGGTGATCCCAACACAGGCAAGGGTATGCAACAGGCGGATCTCTCTGGAACGCCATACACTTGCGGGGTTCTTGTGTGTGGCCCATAACGGGAATTGCGGGTGCTCAAGGAACCCTGTCCCTCCGGTGTGGGCAAGGCACAGTAAGGCTTCTACCAAGAACCGAATGAGCCTAGAGCCGATCAGGCACTGTTGCCACTGGCGCTGTCTGAGGTTCGGGTAACCTATAAGGGCAAATCGCCGGATCGCAGCGGGGGAGCCCCCTTCCATCAATCGGGCGGCAGTGAAGGTTTCACATGGTGGTCCGCCTCCCATGCCACACACCTGTCCCGTTGCTATTTGGTGCATCCAAAATTGAAAGGCTTTGGACGAGGCAAGGTTGCCTTCGATCTTCTGCATGCACATGTCGATGGAGATCACGAAAAAATGAATTGCACCCCAGATCTGATGCTCCAGCAATTGGTGCAGGTCGTTTTCTCGCCGGAAACCTGAAAACACATGGACAAAAACCAGGGTTTTGATGTGCAGGCGGGCGTGTTCTCGGGCTAGATTGCTGGCTGCAAAACGCCCATCCCCTGGATTTGGACCAGCAACGGACTGAAAAACAAAAGGGTGGATATCATCTTCAAAGAGCAACACTTGCGGATCATCTGCACTGCCGTCGGTGCGGCGCCCTTGGAGATTCATGAAGGCGGTGCCTGATGGTTCCAGGCGCTGCTCCCATTTCTGTTCCAGAACGGATGCATCTTGGGAACCTGCGGGGGGGAGCATGGGACCCTGCACTCTACGAACTGGGAGCAGGGCTTTGGTAGCCCACCAACCTTGTTGTCGCATGCTCAATGTGTGTACATGGTCTGCCTGATCCATTGTCTGAACACTAGCATCATCCAGAGCAGGAAAGAATGCTTGCAAGACATCAAGGCAAGACGGCACAAATTTTAGATGCTCAATGGAACGCTGTCGGGAGTGATACCATTTGCAGCACGCGTGGCAAGTGTCACCGATGGCGTAATATTTAACCCAGAGCTTTCTTACTGGCAAAGGACTTGCTACACATGTCACATGTCCATGTTTCCGCGGGTGCGGACTGCTGGAGAGGCAAGATCCCTCCGCCATTGGCAAAGTGCCGGTCAAACCGTTTTTGCCATGTGGTGTTCTGCAACGGCTCTGCGAAATCTCCGGCATGCGGCTGCGGCTGCTCGCAGTCGGCCTTTCCAGCTGGGGTCCACCGCAATCCAAGGAATCCATGCAGTCACCAACGGCTTCCGGGTGCTCCGGCCCAAAGCGGTGCGGATAAAACTTGGTGAACCATTGGCAAGATTTGAGACATGCGTCAAGCCAGGAGTACTGAGTACCAAGGGCAACAGACATGCAGGTCCACAGCACCTGGGGGCAATACTGGAGCAGCCTGTTTGGATGACACAATGTATGGATGCCTATCTGAACGGTATGTTAGTGCCACGATTTATCAAGGACGGTCTGAATCTTCAGGTATGAACTTGTCATTCCTACATTGCTAACTGATTCCGGCAACTGCTTGAAATGGTCAAATCTTCGGCTCGCGGGTCAATCCAGAGAATGCAGAGGAGTTTATTTTCCTCTGCATAAGCACCTCATCTTTTTCCGTTCTCGCTGCGGGGCTTCATGAATTTTCTGCAACTTGCAAATTCAGCCTGAAGCATGGCGGCTGTTTGAAAGGGGGTCACTTGTACACACAGATTTGGCTCACTGGGAAGGATGACATCCCATATATTATGGAAAATAAAACATCATTGAAACCACCAACCAGCCAATATATTAATAATCCAATAATCCCCTATGGGATATATCTTTTTTTTATTGGATTATTGGATATCCATTATAAAATAAGCCCACATATCCATTAATAATCCCAATGGGATATATGGATATATTGGATATGTGGGATATATTCCCTATATTTAATAATCCATTTATAATCCAACAATCCATATATATATATATTAATGATTATTAATGATTATAGGGGATATATAGGGGATTATCATTGGATATGTGGGATATCCCTAAAAAATAGATATATCCCCTATAAAATGGGCAAAATTCATGGGCTCTCCCTTGGTGCCATCAACGGGTGCCCCAACGGACCGGCGAAGGTCACTGCGAGTTCTGCGGCGTTGAAGAGGGCGAAGCGACGCCAGACCAAACGTACCTGGTGGCACCCTTTTGGGGCACCACCAGGTCTGTGGGAAACATCTGCGAAAATTATGGAACATCATGATTTTTCATGAATTGCCATAGGTTTTTCCAATGTTTTCCCATGAAAATCATTGGGAACCGTGGAATTACCAAAAAATCACTGGCACATCATGATTTTCATGGGGAAAACATTGGAAAAACCATGGCAAATCATGGCACCATCAAGTCCTTCAGTGAGATCCACAGCCGCGTTGCGGTGCTTTCACAAACGCCCGAGGGTTCACCCTGTCGTGGTTGGCGATCAAACGCTGGAGATACGAGGCCTGATCCGGGTTGGCCGTCACCAGTACCTTAGTGAAGAAGACATCGCATCACTGGGAATGAATCAGGCAGTGCAGACATGTACTTCTGACATACACAACGTAAATAAATATATATATATATAATAGTTATGTGCATATCATATATATATAATTATGTGCATATACATATATTTATATATATATACATATAATTATATATATACGTTATAATGTACACATACATCTATATAGATATAAAACAATTATTATAGATATACTGTTGTCCATATCATCTAATCTTACTATTGTATAATGTGATACAATGTGTATATATATATATACACAGCGATACAATTACACTGCATAAATTCAATGCCTATGCAGTTGCAAATCATGTGAATGAATCATAATACGCATGTGCAGTATTGAAGTTGTCATGTATTGACATGGGGTTTCCTTAAATGGGGGTATCCCAAAATGGATGGCTTATAATGGAAAATCCCGTCAAAATGGATGATTTAGGGGTAAACCCCATTTCAGGACACCTCCACATGTCGACAAATGGATGTATGATATGACATGTGATGCACGACACAACTATTGGAATCTTTGCCTGGACAGGCTCCCAGAGCTATCAGAAGTATCCTCCCTTTCTGACCAGAAATCTGGGTGAACGAGTGCCACCAGTTCAGCCGTGTCTTAATTTGTTCCTTTAGGGTCTATGGACCTTAATAGGTTTATAATTCTTAATGGTTTATGAAACATCAATGAATTATGGTTAATACTGATTGACGGTGCCGAGGGCAGACACGTGGCCGCATAGCAGAACAGCCCACGAATCTGACCCGTTGCGAGGAGTTTTTGGGGCGCCGCACCAACTTCAGTGGTGCTCCTGGTCACTGTCAACTCAGTCAATTCCAGGTAGATTCAAGTAGCACCACATAGTAAGTCACCAAGTCATTTCTGGAATATACCAACAAAAATCACAGTTATATAGTTATATCGATGATATGTTCCCATTTCTGGTGAAACGCCCATTTCAGCCGTTCGGATCCCTTCCTTGTGCCATCTTGTCCAGAAGTGGGTTCAATGCTGACACCTCGGACCGGCAGGTCTAACCAAATGATACGACTGGGGCAAATCTAGGGGTTAAGATTCTAGGATATAAAAACATGTGTAAACATGTGTAAAGTGTGAATGAACCATACTTGTTGTTGATATCCCAACGGTGGTTGTGTTTCACCATAGTTACAGGCCTATCCCAACAAAGATGGAGCTTATAACTCCGAATTCTCACTGATGCAGGCCTCATGGCCACGATCAATGGATCGGTAAATCATCGACTCCTTATGGGTCGGTGTCCTTTTTCGAAGACTGTTGCTCATTACCAGAAAAAGGGGACCTGAAAAGACTGTTTTTTCGGTACATGAAGAGCATCTCAGCACTGGACATGTTTCAGCAGCGCATCTTTACCTTGGGGATGCGACAACTAGTCCTTTCTCGCTGACAATCCGTGGCAGCATTGCAGTGCGCAGCCTCTAGGACAATCTAGGACCACCAAAAAGTCCAAGAGTTTTTCCAGCATCCATTATAACCATCCATTACAACCTTTTTCCAGCATCAACTCAGCTCGGAACTCAAAGTCCCCTTGTCATTGGCAAAGTCAAATCCTAAGTTCAAAAGAGCTTTTGGCGGAACAAAAATACCACCACACTTGGAAGCTACAGCAATGTTTGGAGCGATCACTCATGGTGCTTTTTATGCATCCGAAATCTATGAATGGCAAGGGGTTGTTTTTCGTTTTCAAGCCAAAAAACAGCGTTCAACATTGCAAGAGAGCCGTCTTCCTGCACCCGACCAGAATCTCTTTCCTGCAGAAAAAGCATATTGGCTGAAGGTGAAGTTGCATGGGAATATCAATTACCCTCTGGTAAACTATTACATAACTATGGAAAGATCCAACATTTTTCATGGGTAAATCCACTATTTCAATGGCCATTTTCCAGTTCGCTTTTTGTATGTTTACCAGAGGGTACTTCTTGTCATCCCATGTGCGAAATCGAAATCTGCAGCCACGATGGCCATGATGGGAATTTCCCAACATGTCATTGGATTCACAACATGACTAACATGACAATCCCATAGCATCAATGGGAAAATCCTGGAGAATCACCCCGCTGACATCCACTCAGCCATTTGATCACTTTCACCTTTATCCATTTATAGTGGATTTGCCCATTGAAAATGGTGATTTTCCATAGTTATGTTAGTTTACCAGAGGGTATAATAGGCCACAGCAAATGACTGGTTGGTGGTTGAGCCACCCCTCTGAAAAATGTGAGTTCGTCAGTTGGGATGATGACATTCCCAATATGATGGGAAAATAACAGCCATGTTCCAAACCACCAACCAGTTATTCACCCTTCACATTCAACAGCCCCCCGAGTCACCATGAGTCAACTTGGTTTCTCTAGATGACACTGATTTTCACCAAGCTTCTGAGGTTTGTGGTGGGGTTCGGCATGGCCACCAGCAAAGTCATCTGTGCGCCACGGAGGCATTTTTTCAGATAGAAACTGGACATACGACTTGTGTGTCTCTTCTTTTAAGTTCTTTCGGGAATTCAGATAGAGTACTTCCACCTCAAGTTGATATTGAGCACGGCAATGTCGGTGACGCCTCTGCCGCATCCTCCTTTGGCGGGTCGTATTGACCTCAGAATGACACATGGCCTGGGCACATTGGTGGAAAAGAGACATCCTACAAGTTCCAGCAGAATGTCGCCAACTACTAACTACTGTAGGGCATCCATGTTATATCCATGGTATATCCATGTTGGATGTTGATTCTGCCATAGCATCTCTACCTTTTCCACACGAACCGAGCCGCGACAATGGTGAACACCGGGACACCACACGTTGCCACAGGTCCAACTTCTGCACATAGTGATTGGGCGACACGCCCTGACCGGCCAGCTCAGGGTACCAAAAACAAGGGCCGCAGTTGGGGGGAACCATGGCAGTTGGGATCTTAAAAATTTAAGTAAGCCCCAAAAAAAGATAGAAACATGTTTTCCCAGGATGCTCAGGATGGTATAGATGTTTCTGACTGTTCTAGCTGGGGTTGCTACAATTATCGACTCCACGTTTTTCGGAGGAATTCGTCTAGAAAGGGACCTTCACCTTTTTTGACGCAGCTTCCACTGTGACTTCCCAGGAGCTTCCGCACACACAAGAGTTGCTGAGCAGGGCTTGCTTCCAAGGCCTTGAGGAAGGGAAGGGAAAATTATGGGAACATCTTTACCATGAAAATCCATGAAAATCCCTGTTTTTGACGAAAACTGGCGGTGATCCTGTAGATAATTTTCGCTGTCCTGGGAAAAGCTAGGAATATATTGCTGAAGAACATGTTTCAACTACATCCATGTTGTCCTCGACCTTTTGCCATGTTCATCTTCACGTGCCACCTGATTGCCGCAACTTTTCACGCGGTGCTATGAAGCTTGCTCCATGAGAAGCAGCTGGACGTCAGGCAAGTCCAGCTCAAAATGCGATCCAGTCTGTCACTGGTTGCGGCACAAGCCGTGACCCTTGGAAGACCTCAAATTCAGCCTGATGGCTGGTTGCACTGGGATTGAAGCTATCGAGATAGCCCTTGAGACAAACAGGTCAGCAACAGCAGGATGTCAAAAGCAACATCGTAAATGAACATCAGTCTCAAATCTCACGGACACTGGGAAATTGGAAAAATGCAGGCTCGGAACATGTCTACAATTCTGCACAGGCAACGTTGTTGTAACGCGTGCCCTGAAACGGCATGACTCCACGATGAATTATGCCCAACAACCTCATGCGAATTCAGTATGTTGGGCTCACAAAGGATTCACGGACACACGCGGCACTGGAAAGTTCCTATTACAGCCACATCCGTATCCGTCTCAAAATTCACTGAATTGCCACCATAGTTCTTGGTGCTACTCTACATCTACGCAAGTTACCAGGACCCAAGTGTAGGCTGAATATAGGTGACCTCGAAATCCACTGGTTGATCATCATTTTCCCTGATTAAATTACCATAACTTGAGGCTTCCCCATGTTCAGACATGTAATATTAAATATATCAAATTATATAATATTATATGTAACTTCCCATTTTGTTGATTTGCTGATATCATTATTAACATTTATTAACCAGTATTACCGTTATTCATTTGTGGTTGATGAAATCCAATCTGTCAATATCTGTCACTCGGGTCCCTGGTCTCAATTGGTGTCCCATCTCAGCGATTCAGAACCACATCCCCAGAAACGGCACGATGGTCGCTCCCAGCAGCCCGTGGCCAAATTTGCGATTGGACCACGGACTGACCAACCGAAATGGGTGTCTTTTGGAAGTAGACCTGGTGACACATGGTGACACATGGTGACAACACATGGCAGGAAACAGCAGGCATCAAGGGATGAAAATTTGAAATGATTTATGTGGGTATGGCTGTACAGCTCAAAATCTGGAATTCCTTGGTTTTCACAGCAAAAACTGGTAAGTGGATGTTCATTCCCAATAAAAAATGGCATTATATGGTTTGATCCATACCCATGTACCAGAAGGAGTCAACGAATGATAAGTTCATCTCTGGAATCAAAGAACTGCTCTGATCTCCAGTTTCTTGAAGTTGGTTTGTCTGAAAATGGCGTGCCCCAAAAATTCGATGGATTATAAACCTCATGTTCCCCACCAAACAAATCGTTATTTCCTGAGTAAATCATCCCCATTTTCACAGTTTCTCATTTATCAAACAAAATCAAGTGCAATAATACATGTATAGAAACCCTAATCGTGTCTTAACAATCGCATCTTTCCTCCCAAAATAAAAGGTCTCAACAATATATGCGCTCCAGCCACATAGTCCAAGCGCACCGGGTCGTTGTTGATGGTGGAGGGATCCGGATTGCCCGGATGAAGTTCGGCCCAGGCGTCCGTGAAGGTCATTGGGATCTGCCAGCGTCGACCAAAGGCGTCCATGTGCCCGTTGCGCAGCAGCTGCTGGGAGGGCTGGAAGTAGCCCGTGTTCAAGTCACCCATCAGGACCTAAAACTTGAGGCCGGGGGTGGATGACGAAAGCTAGCGGGGTAGGAGAAAGAAGGAAGGGAAGAGGTGAGTTGCGGAGGGACTGTCATCATCGTGTCGCGGCATTGTTCGTCCCAACGAGGATGCAACAATGATATATTGATATATGATATATAACAATGATATATATGGGGGAGGGGGCAGGGGGGGGCCCTTTCGCGGGAAAAATCACGTGATGTCCTTGGGGAGCCCCGGAATACGTGCTAAAGCAAGAAGACTCTAGCGAGCTGACGCTAGCTTTCGTGATAATGACAATAATTGCCAATAATGATAAAATGTAATTGAATAACGATGATGATGATGATGATGATGATGATGATGAATGAATGATGAATGATGAATGATGAATGATGAATGATGAATGATGAATGATGAATGATGAATGATGAATGATGAATGATGATGATGATGATGATGATGACGAGGACGCGGACGAGGACGATGGAGAGGACGATGACGATGATGATGACGATGATGATGACGATGATGATAGATAGATAGATAGATAGATAGATAGATAGATAGATAGATAGATAGATAGATAGATAGATAGATAGATAGATAGATAGATAGATAGATAGATAGATAGATAGATAGATAGATAGATAGATAGATAGATAGATAGATAGATAGATAGAGATAGATAGATAGATGATAGATAGATAGATAGATAGATAATGATGATGATGACTGATGATGGATGACTGATGACGATGACGATGATGACGATGATGATGACGATGATGATGACGATGATGATGACGATGATGATGACGATGATGATGACGATGATGATGATGATGATGGTGGTGATGGTGGTGGGTGGGTGGGGGAGGGGGGGAGGGGGGGGGGGGGGGGGGTACGAGGGAATAATAGGGTCTATGTGATTGTTCCCTTTCTGGCTTTCATTCAATGGAAAATAGTTAGCTTTATATAAAATTACATGAATTAAATAGATTTTCCATTTAATTCATTTAATTAATTAAACGGATTAAATGAATTTAATGAATTAAGTAGATTTTCCATTTAATTCATTTAATTCACTGAACTAATTAAATGAATTAAATGAATTAAATGAATTAAATGGATTTTCCATTTAATTTATTTAATTCATTAAACTAATTATATGAATAAAATGAATTAAATATACTTTCCATTTAATTCATTTAATTCATTTAATTCCTGGGGTCCCCAGATTCCAGAAACAGTTTTCCATTTAATTTATTTAATTCATTTAATTCATTAAACTAATTAAATGAATTAAATGAATTAAATAGATTTTCCATTTAATTCATTTAATTAATTAAATGAATTAAATGAATTAAAAAGATTTTCCATTTAATTCATTTAATTCATTTAATTCCTGGGGTCCCCAGATTCCAGAAACAGTTTTCCATTTAATTTATTTAATTCATTTAATTCATTAAACTAATTAAATGAATTAAATGAATTAAATAGATTTTCCATTTAATTCATTTAATTCATTAAATGAATTAAATGAATTAAATAGGTTTTCCATTTAATTCATTAAACTAATTAAATGAATTATATGAATTAAATGAATTAAATAAATTTTCCATTTAATTCATTTAATTCATTTAATTCCTGGGGTCCCCAGATTCCAGAAACAGTTTTCCATTTAATTTATTTAATTCATTTAATTCATTAAACTAATTAAATGAATTAAATGAATTAAATAGGTTTCGCATTTAATTCATTTAATTCATGAAATGAATTAAATGCATTAAATGAATTAAATGAATTAAATGAATTAAATTGATTTTCCATTTAATTCATTTAATTCATTTAATTCCTGGGGTCCCCAGATTCCAGAAACAGTTTTCCATTTAATTTATTTAATTCATTTAATTCATTAAACTAATTAAATGAATTAAATGAATTAAACTAATTAAATGAATTAAATGAATTAAATGAATTAAATGAATTAAATATGTTTTCCATTTTATTCATTTAATTCATGAAACTAATTAAATGAATTAAATGAATTAAATAGATTTTCCATTTAATTCATTTAATTCATTTAATTCCTGGGGTCCCCAGATTCCAGAAACAGTTTTCCATTTAATTTATTTAATTCATTTAATTCATTAAACTAATTAAATGAATTAAATGAATTAAATGAATTAAATAGATTTTCCATTTAATTCATTTAATTCATTAAATTAATTAAATGAATTAAATGAATTAAATAGGTTTTCCATTTAATTCATTTCATTCATTAAACTAATTAAATGAATTAAATGAATGAAATAGATTTTCCATTTAATGCATTTAATTCATTTAATTCCTGGCGTCACCAGATTCCAGAAACCGTTTTCCATTTAATTTATTTAATTCATTTAATTCATTAAACTAATTAAATGAATTAAAAAGATTTTCCATTTAATTCATTTAATTCATTAAACTAATTAAAGAAATTAAATGAATTAAATAGGTTTTCCATTTAATTCATTTAATTCATTAAACAAATGAAATGAATTAAATGAATTAAATAATTTTCCATTTAATTCATTTAATTCATTTAATTCCTGGGGTCCCCAGATTCCAGAAACAGTTTTCCATTTAATTTATTTAATTCATTTAATTCATTGAATTCATTAAACTAATTAAATGAATTAAATGAATAAAATAGATGTTCCATTTAATTCATTTAATTCATGAAATTAATTAAATGAATTAAATGGATTAAATGGATTTTCAATTTAATTCATATAATTCATTAAACTAATTAAATGAATTAAATGAATTAAATAGATTTTCCATTTAATTCATTTAATTCATTTAATTAGTTTAATGAATTAAATGAATTAAATAAATTAAATGGAAAACTGTTTCTGGAATCTGGGGACCCCAGGAATTAAATGAATTAAATGCATTAAATGGAAAATCTTTTTAATTCATTTAATTCATTTAATTCATTCAATTAATTTAATGAATTAAATGAATTAAATGGAAAATCTATTTAATTCATTTAATTCATTTAATTAGTTTCATGAATTAAATGAATTAAATGGAAAACCTATTTAATTCATTTAATTCATTTAATTCATTTAATTAGTTTAATGAATTCAATGAATTAAATGAATTAAATAAGATAAATGGAAAACTGTTTCTGGAATCTGGGGACCCCAGGAATTAAATGAATTAAATGAATTAAATGGAAAATCTATTTAATTCATTTCATTTGTTTAATGAATTAAATAAATTAAATGGAAAACCTATTTAATTCATTTAATTCATTTAATTCATTTAATTAGTTTAATGAATTCAATGAATTAAATGAATTAAATAAATTAAATGGAAAACTGTTTCTGGAATCTGGGGACCCCAGGAATTAAATGAATTAAATGAATTAAATGGAAAATCTATTTAATTCATTTCATTTGTTTAATGAATTAAATGAATTAAATTGAAAATCCATTTAATCCATTTAATTCATTTAATTAATTTCATGAATTAAATGAATTAAATGGAACATCTATTTTATTCATTTAATTCATTTAATTAGTTTAATGAATTCAATGAATTAAATGAATTAAATAAATTAAATGGAAAACTGTTTCTGGAATCTGGGGACCCCAGGAATTAAATGAATTAAATGAATTAAATGGAAAATCTATTTAATTCATTTCATTTGTTTAATGAATTAAATGAATTAAATGGAAAACCTATTTAATTCATTTAATTCATTTAATTAGTTTAATGAATTAAATGAATTAAATGGAAAATTTATTTATTCCCGAATGCGTAGCAAGGGTTCCCGTTTCACTCTGGGGGTCTGGGGGTTGAGGGTGTGTTCGCTCGACGTTGCGTTCACGGTCGCAACCGTCCGCAACCGTCCGCAACCGTCCGCAACCGTTCGCGTGAGGACCGTATGGCCGTGCCTATGGGAAGTTCTGCAGAGGTGGTAATTTTTGGAGGTTTCAGACGTGTCGTTGCTTCGTTTCGCGTGGCAGGCGTGGCACTTCGCGACATTCAGACGTGTTCTGGGACGTGTCGAAAGTCGTTTTGCGTGGCAGGCGCAATACTTTTGCGACGTTTTCAGAAGATGTGTTGCAGTTTTCGTGGCAGGCGCAGCACTTTGGACGTGTCCATCGCCATTTTTCGTGGCAGGCGCAGCACTTTAGACGTGTCATGTTGCGTGTTTTTTGCACATCGCATTGGCAGGGCTGCGTCAAGTGGCGACAAGGTGCAAATTCCGTGGCAGGCGTGGCATTTTCTGACATGTGCTGAAAATTGACGGAAGCCTCGCACGAAACATCGATTTTGAGGTTGCCAATTTTCACGTTCTAAGGAAAACTCGTAGGAAAACGTCGATTTTGAAGCTACAAAGTGTGAAAATTGGAGGAAGTCTCGCACGAAATGCTCGTTTTGGTGCTCCCACGTGTCTCGTCTCGAGTCTCTGGTTTCCCTGTGGCCTCGCCGTGTCTATGGGGGAAGCTGGAAAACATGTTCTTGCGGCATGTTTCAAACTATGAAAATTGGATGAAGTCTCGTACGAAATGCTGATTTTTCTGCATCCACGTGTCTTGTCTCGAGTCTCTGGTTTTCCTGTGGCTTCGCCGTGTCTATGGGGGAAGCCGCAAAACCTCTCCTTTTCGAAGGTTTCCAAGCAGCTTGTCATGTCGTTTTGCGTGGCAGGCGTGGCACTTTGTGACATTCCAACGTGTTTGATAACGTGTCGAAAATGTCAAAATTGGAGGAAGTCTCGTACGAAATGCTCGTTTTTCTGCATCCACGTGTCTTGTCTCGAGTCTCTGGTTTTCCTGTGGCTTCGCCGTGTCTATGGGGGAAGCCGCAAAACCTCTCCTTTTCGAAGGTTTGCAAGCAGCTTGTCATGTCGTTTTGCGTGGCAGGCGTGGCACTTTGCGACATTCCAACGTGCTTGATAACGTGTCGAAAATGTCAAAATTGGAGGAAGTCTCGTACGAAATGCTCGT